CCTAAAATGTACCAATAAACTCAATTAAAGCGAGAAAAAACCCAAAAATACAGTATTGAGTATTTCAGGGCAAGTTCACACATGATTTTCGAGCTTTACCAGTGTTTCTGTCTAGAAGCACAGTCTATTGTTCATCAAGGAAAGGCTAGTTTACTATCCATACATATAAATATAAATCTGGAAATAAAGATTTAAACATAACCTATTGGTCAAGAGTTTATTTGGAACAAATTATTCTTGTCTTCTAGGGCAATATTATTTCCTTCCATTTTGTATATATGTGTGTGTATCTGTTCATCTTGAGATGATGCCAGAACAACCACTAAAACATCAACTATGGGAGTATTATTTTGAGAACATAAATAATCTCATAGTCAGTTTTGTGCAAAAAATGAAAGGTGAAATGTAGAACTGACAGAAAAGTGTCAGGTAGGTGTGTTCACTGACCGTGAGATATGAACTATGACGGTGAGGAGAAAATGAGCATCGGCATGGGGAAAATGAATAACACATTCATGAAGTAAGTTCTCACTACCGTTCTACTGAGGAGGAGAATTACTAGGGAGGGTTCCATGGCCTGCTCATAAATATCAATAGATGCAAATATCCACCCTCTCCTAACACAGTAAAAACTATGCAGCTCAAATCTTTCCGTAGGAATCAAATATATTGTTCGAAACCAAACTCTAAGGACTGCGACAGAGGAAGAAAACTTTAATCTTGAAGAGCAAATCAATATCGTATCTAATAAACCTAATCTTCCAAGGTTCACTGCAAAAATATGTGCAGAAATGACTGCTTTCTCTTTATTGAGGAGCACTGTCCTCTCCTTCCATGAGCATAAAATCACTAGCGAAAGGGGGCAATCAACCAATTTCAAAGCCAGTTTCTCTCTGTTTATTGTTATTTCCCTGTCCTCGATCTAGCACCAAATATACTGGTAGATCTGCAAAAATCTGACTTGAAAAATACACAAATGTTCTCACTGAACCGCCCACATTCTGGGAATTACATGCGGGGGCGGGGGAGCAATGGGGATGCGGAGAGGAAGCAAAGCCAACCAGTTTGGAAGTGTAGTCCACAGCCATCTGCTCAATAATCTTCTTCTTTACGCCTTGCAGGTGTCTCAGAAGATGGTCTTTTAGCTCAGACACCATCTGAAACAGAACAGGCATTAGACGTGCCCAGCATATTCACACCTACAAAACTGGCTTGAATCAGAGCCTCGTTAATGGTTGTTATCAGTGTGAAAATCGCCAGGTCTCAAGAGCCCGTAGCAGAGATGCCAACTCTCCGTATTTCTCTGGTGGGATAAACCAGGAGACCCCAACATTTCCTCAAGAGGAGCTACATAGGATTCACCCAAAGCCCAGGGAACTACTGCCAGCCAGGCTCAGGTGCTGGCGAGAACTCTCCAGAGAGGCCTGTGGCAGCAGAAGTGAAGCACTTTGGGATCTGTCAAAGGACGGCTCCTGGGGCTGCAGGCTCGGGTAGGGACCTGCGTCCCGGCGCCTAGCAGCTCGAGCAGGCTGGGATCTGCGTGGCTCTCTTCCTACCAGCCTCCCAGGCCATGGTCAGCATCCCTCGCCACCATCATTTGCTTTTCTCCCCTCCTCCTCCTCTTCCCCTTCGCCCTTTGGGCCTGGATGTCCTGCCAGCACTAGACCATCCTGGCTAGAGAGATCTGTGCACCAACAGACAGCCTGTGAGGACCCTACGACGGCCACAGTACACACGCACGTCTTCTAGTCCTGCCAATGCCCCGGACTCTCAGGGACGAGACACAGTGATGCTGTATCTCGGTCCAGTCTCCTCCATGTGCTGGTTCATTTGGCTTTTTTTTTAAGTTAATTTTTTCTAAGAAATAGCGTGAAGTTTTTCATGCTCTTTTCTACAATAACCATAAGATGAAAATTAAAATCACTCATAATCCTATCATCCACACAAACATTTGAGGTTTACTCCCTTTTTTTCTGATACGCACACACATTCTAATGTTTTGTAATCTTTTTTTTCTTGTGAGTTGCTTTGTGTCATTAAATGCTCTTTATCAGACCAGTTTTAATGACTGCTCAGTATTGATTTTATGAAAGCACTAGAATTATTCCTTTCAAGTACACATAGGATATTTCTTTTGCTATTGTCAGTAACACCACACAAATATATAGAAATTGTTTGCCACATCCCCAATTATTTTGTCAGACTCAGTTCACAGAAATGGAATTTGCTGGGCTGTACCCATAAGGTCGGCAAGGCCCTGTATCTCTCTCTACTCATTTTCTCTGTGCATTTCACAGAGTTCTCCAGTGCCCTGTACCATAGACTTTGTAATGAGATTTTTGAATCTCTGCCAATTTGATAGTCCAAAAAGCCACTTGTGCTGTTTGTCATTGACAATGGTTACGCCAAGCATTTTTCTGCTCCTCCCACCCTAGACTGACCATTTCTGTGGGGAAACAGATTGATCAATGCCTTTCTGTACATTCCCCTCCTGCTGTGTTATTTTCCTACTGATTCATAAACTTTATATACCAGATGCCAATCATTTGACACATTTGGTGTAATTTATTTCCAAACTTATCACTTTTTCTAGGTTGAAGTTTTTATTCAATCGCATCTTTTCCTGTCGATATTCAATAGTATCTTGTAAAGGTCTTCTCTATTTCAGTATTATTTAACTATCCTCTCATTCAGTCATCTTCTTTTGCACAGGTTTTTTGGTGCTCTTTTGGAGGGGGGTACTGGGGACCAAACTCGGGGCTTTGCACTTGTGAGGCAGGCAGTGGAACCACTGAGCCAAATCCCCAGCCTTCTCACACAGTTTAATAAACTCCTTAAACTAGCAATCCTGTCTCAGCCACCTGAGTGGTACAATTAGAGGCCTGGACCTATACTAAACTAAATTCCTTCATCTACCTTTTATTTCTGTTGGTTTATTGTATAAAATAGTGATGTGGGATACAAAGAATCTAGACTTTCTTTTCCAAATACTTAACAATTAACCAGTTGATATATTAAAACTTTTTCTTTCCACACCAGTTTTTTAATACTGACTGTATACTAAATAGTAAATTTAAACCTAACTCTAATGGCTTATCTTCATGTCCATGTTGTTTCTATTATTGTACATAAGCACATATTTAGCTATCTTGTAACACCAGTCCCACTTCCCCTTAATTTGTCAAGCAAATTACTTATTTGTCAGAGCAAGTTACTTCATCACCTTTTGGGTTGTAATTTTATTAAACCTAGACACTCATGATTTGAAATAAAATACTGCACTTCATTCCCTTTTCTGCTTCTCTTTATTAACTCTCTAAAGAATTCACTCTTTATTATTTTACATTCTCTCCATTGGTCAGCTGCTGTTGCAAGACAACACCTTCCTTTCCTCTGGTTTCTTACTGCATTGGCTACAGTTTTCAGAACAATGCAGCAAAAATAGCCTTCAGCAGTCATTCCACTGAGATGTTGGCTATTACCAAGAGACTACTTGCTACGAGTTAGTGTATTTCAGAAGTGAAATTTGACTTTTGTCCTCTTTCAGTGACTGGAATATGACCTTTTCTTCTTAGACCTTGAAATACAAATTTCACTGCACATTTAGTGGGAAAAAATCGAACTTGGCCTTGTGTTTTTTAAGAGACCAAGAGTATTTTAATTAAGCTTGGGATGTCTACATCTATGAATCAGTTTGACCAGATTTTGGGTCTGTGGCTGTTTGGGGGGTCTTTTAAATGACTGAGAAGCTTTCTGTCTTCTTTCAAAAGCTACTTCATGGGACTGGGGATTTAGCTCAGTGGTTTTGCTGCCTGCTTTGCGAGTGCAAGGACCCAAGTTCAATTCCCATCCCTGGTACTTTAAAAAAAAAAAAAGATACTATATGTACCCAGGGATGATCTGGTCCTTTAAAATTTGAAAGAACAAACTTGAAGCCTTTTTTAGAGCTATTTAACTTTTCATTCAAATTATTTCATAGATATTGTGCTTCCAGCTTCTCTATTTGTTCTTGGATCAAATTCTGTGATCTCTACTTGCCAAGAAAATTCTGTTTAACTAGAATTATCAAGGTCATATATATGGACTTCTACATATTTTCCCATACAGTATTTTCAAATGTGCCATAGCTAAAGTACAGGTTTACCCATTCTTAAATCTGCACGCTGCCGGTCTTTAAAAACATTTCATTTGACTTTCTAGATGTCTCTTGGTGCTTTTAAAAAGGTTTCATATTTATTTACTGAGTGTCCCCTTCAATTACTTTGATTTCTATTTCTCTGGTCATCTTCACACTTGGACTTGCTTCAGAAAGAATATTTTACTGGATTTTAAACTCCAAATACAAGGGCCACAAAAACATTTTCTTTTAAAAAAAAATACTTCCAATGTCATGGGCTCCTGAAAATGATTTGTAATTATACATAAATCATATTTACTGATGTAGCTGATTAATGCATCTCCTCCATTAACTACGTCTTCCCAGAGGGCACACATCGCGTATGTGTTGCTGACCACTGACACATAAAGTCTGCAGCACAGGTGGCAACTGTCTGTTGAGAGAATCAAGGGGAAGTTTTCCCCTGCTCCAGCACCAAAGGGTGCACACAGGCTTACCAGCCCCATCAGCAGCCTCTGGTGGGGGTCTTCCTCCTGCAGGACAGGCGTTAACCTTGGCTCTGAAATCAAACAGAACAGAGTCACGCTGGCGGTTTCCAGAGTGTGTGCTGAAGCAAGAGGCTTCCCTTCTACATCACTGGAAAAACATAACACTTTGCATAACTCAGCATGACCCAGTCCTACAAGCCCAGCGTAGGTGACACAGTTAGAGCTGTCACACCAAAAGGAGAAGACTGAGTCAGAAAGGAGCCGACGAACCCAATCCCCAGCACCAGAAGGTTCTGGCCTTGACTTCTGAGCTGAGGAAGAACCTGTGCTTCCCTGGAGATGGGCCCTGGGCCTCTCAGCCCAAGGCGGCCGGGGCTGAGGACTAGTGAGGCTGGTGGAGTCCAGATTACTTGGCTCTTTTCTGCTTTCTGAGCCAATGATTCAGCGACTTTGGGAGTCACCCAGCTGAGGGGTGCAGTCCGTGCCCGAGGTGATTAATACTAACTGGCTAAGGTCAATAGAAAGGTACAGGAAGGTTAAACCAAGGTCACTGTCACGGTGCACTGGCTGAGCACACAGCTGCGGAGAGTGAAGTTAGTCGGCTTCCATCACAGTCCCCAACATACACCTAAGGCATCCATGCCCACGAAACAGAAATGTGTACAGAAGCAAGGGCATCATGGAAACCACTGTCTGTCTGGACTGACCCAGCTCTTGGTCCCGTTACCCCTGGCTAAGTCCCCTCATTTGTCAAGGCCTGATTAACCCATCTGTCCCACTCTGGGAGGCATCTTGCAACTTCCCTTGAACCTGCCACGCTAGTCCTGCCCCGACCTTCTGACCGTTTACCCAGAGGGGACACAGCACCTGTGGCTTGGTTTCCAAATGATGTGTTCCTGCTTCTCCCTCACATGGCACCCCGTGTGCACTCACCTGTGCTAGCTGCTCCCGCACGGACCCCTTGCCCCTTTTCCCCACTCTGCAGCCCTGGGGTGGCCAAGCTGCCCAGCAGCACATGGGACAGTCAGATAGCTCTGGACCAGAGCCCACTTCTCCCTGGCTCCTGCGCCCAGCTCTTCCCCCAGAACTTCCCTGCTCCCCTAGAGGCGCCTCATGGTGGCACCGCCAGGACCCAGCCCGGTGCAAGCCAAGTGTTAACCAAAGTAACAGCACACACAAGTCAAAGGGCCTGTGTGATGAGACAGCCGGAGAGCAGCAGCCCTGTGCCAGGGGAACTTCGGGCACAGCCAGAGGGCATGTGAGTCACACAGCCCCAGAGGACGAGCCAGGAAAGCCAGGGCCAACTCCCAGGGACTAAGCACATCTAGCAGCTGTCCCGGAAGGCCGGTGCCAGGACAGCCGTGGAAATGGCTTTGTGGTCAGTGGAACAAGGAGATATTAAATGGCACTGCCTTCATTACACCACTGCAAGTGACATCCTTGCCAACCCACAGAGGCAGGGAGAACAGTGTTACAAACAGAACACTGAAAACGGACTTTATAACAGGTCTTCTCTTACCCAAATGCCTTGCTTCGACATCAGAAATCACCCTAGAAAGAAATTAGCAATGTTATTCACACAGCTAGCATTGTTTTTCTGTTTTTTTTTTTTGCTTTGTTTTGTTGTTTTGTTTGTTTTTAATGAAGCTACAACACTATGCAAAGATATCCTCCTTAAAAGAAAAAAAACATAAAATCACTGTAGAAACTGCTGTTGGGCTTCCAGAAAACCTCAAAAACTTTAATTAATGTAGCAAAAGCCACCTTAAGCAATCATAAAATCTTAGAACCCGTTAGTGCCAACAAGGGCAACAATTTAGAACAATCGCATTCTCAGTTATTGCAGATAATGAGGGCAGGAAATAGAGCAGAGCTTGGAGTGCGGCCTGCTCTGCTGCACTCTGCTGGGACTCATCGCCCAAATATGATTTCAAAACAAGAGCAGGCTCGCCAGTCCACCGACTGTTCTGTCCCGGTCTACTCAACCTGCTGCCTGTCCGTGCCCTAAGAAGTGCTCATTATAAATCCTCCACCCCTGGGCACAAGTCTGGAAGGCTTCACACACGAGATTTTCCCACTAGAACAAATCTAGAACAGGGCCCAAGCAGCTGCACTCAGGAGCTACAGCCCACCTTGCAGCCCAAGTAAGCGGCTGCTGCAAAAGAAGCCAACAGGGTCGAAGGAAAGCATCTCACCGACCCGAGAGCCCTCGTTCTGCTTACTTTACTGCGTTGTGAAGGATGTTTCTCATGTACGCTGTGGACCTCCTCTTCCCCGCTTCCTAGGAGTGAGAACACGGCAGGGTGGAGAAACAGGACAGTTTTGTGGGTGGCTTTTTGTTTATCGAGGACACAATGCAACACAGCTAAGAGTCTCAGAAAGAAAAGATACACTTTCCAGGTCATCAGAAGACCTGGACGCTACTACAAAAAAAAAAAGTGAATGTTTTATTCTAAAGCAAAAGCGTACTCGCAGAAGTTACAAGTTGATTATTTACAACAACCCCTGCTATACACAATGCTAGAGACCCCGCGTCCCGGCACCCGCCTCCCCCAGGGTGTGTATCTCACACAGCTGGACTGAAGTATCGCCTCAGGAAGTTGACACTGGCGTGTGTGTGTGTGTGGTTGTGTCATCTTTGCAGTGTGGAGCTTCCTGTCCCACGATGTAGCACAAACCAGGACTCTCCCAGCCTCCACAGATCTCCCCGGCGCCCCTGTGTCAGACTCGACACCTCCTCCCCGACCTCCACTCTTTTGGGAACATCTGGGTTTCTTTTAAATCAGTTTTTAACCATGCGGGGGGACACAGCGCTCGCCTGTGACATGGACAGTAACACCGTGGCCTTGCTGAGTGTCCCCTTCACTGCTCTGAGCTGGGGGGCCTGGTGGCACCCCTGAGGCTCCTGGGAGACAAGTGGTGACCTCAGACACTGCAGCACCGGGAAGCACGGTGACCAGGCTGTCCCCAGCACCCCGCCTACCTCCTCAGAGACCAGGTTGTGCCACTCCCTCCAGACCACGCCATTGGTGTAGCGCGAGGGCGGCATGGCGTACTTGACGTGCTCTAGGTTGGAGTTCAGCTTTTCCCAGTAGCCCTGCAAGCTGCGGACCTGGAGGCACAAGACCATGGGCGGCTGGAGCAGCAGCCCCGACCCGCAGCCTCCCTTCACCCCTTTGGAACAGAGCAACCACTGCTCTCCCCCCCGATCAACAGGACGTCTCTGGGGAGGCTTAGCAGGAAGCCCCCCGCCAGGGACGCGTGGTCCTGACTTAGGTGGCGTCCACAGTGCCGTGGCCAGTCCGAGGACACCCACGGGAGGAGAGCAAGCTTACTTTCCTGCTGAGCTTGCTTACGACTTCCAAGTGTATGTTTTTCAAACTACAGGAATCGTGGGCTGGGGATTTAGCTCAGTGGTTCCACCGCCTGCCTCACAAGCATCCATCCCCAGTACAAAGCAAAACTACAGGAATCACAAAGAGGATGACATGAACAGACCCCACGGTCAGCCGTCCAATACTCCCACACAGAATCAGCTGGCCTTCCAGGGTTTGGACTGCTCATCACTGCACTACCGTGAGGCAAGACTGTGCGCATCTGACTGGTGCGTAACAAAAGGCAGGTGCCAGTGTGTTTAATGTTGAGGGATAAGTACAGACACACATCAGTTTCCCAATCAAGGAAGATGGAGTTATGATGCACTCTTTCTTGCCAAAGCTTGTGTTTATAAAGGACTTGACTCATGTCATGGGTCGTCATAAAACGCAGCAACCTACTGCCCGTGGTGGTGATGGGCTTGGCTGAATTTCAAGAAAATGAAAGAATGTAAATAAAATATACATTTAAGAAAAGTGCTCTAATGTTAAATAACAGCGTGCTGTTCAATTTTTTATTGGAAAAAGTGACTACTTTGGCTTGAACCCAAGTTTAGCATATCAGTAAAGTGAGTTGTGATGTTTTAAAATTTGTTGTTTTCGAACCCTAAAATGCCCACCACCCTACGCCCCTTCTTTGGGGACAGGAATGACTAATCAATGAAGCAGGAACCGCACTGGGCAGTTGTGGAATCTCCAGAGCTAAGGCAGTGTGGTTTCTAGAGGAAATGGAAAACGGCCTTGGGCCCAGCTCCCCTCTTGACTTATCCTTGCTCAATTCTTTAAAATTATTAGCAGTACTTATTTAGAATGAATGGAGCTCTATTCGCCCTTTGTTTCTTCCTTGTACAGGAAAAAGGTACATGATACAGACCCTGCAGACATTTGGCCGGATCACATCCCTGACCTGAAATCCCCACAACTTCCTGGGGTCCCACAGGGGCGCACTCTGGGCTACCAGGGCTGGAAACCGTAGTTGGGGTTGTGGTGCCATCTAGTGGCCACTTGGCCACACATCTCAGCGGTTCCACCTCCATAGTCCTAACTCCTGGCCTGGGCAGCATAAGGGAAGATCTATCTGTTGTCTGGCCTGATCCTCTCTGGACAAATCCTGTCAAGAGAACCCCATTCACACTATGACTCCTAAGAAAAATCCTCCCAAACTACCTCCCATCTCCCCTCTCCTCCATTTAAAGACCTCTCCTCACAACCTTCATCAGCTGAGAAAGGCAGAAAGCAGACTTCCTACGACTCCACAGCAGGCTCCAGAGGGCTGGGGGCTTGCTGCTATCCGGACATGGAGGGTGTCATCATATGAGCCTCCCCTGGGGACAGAATCTACAGCTTTTACCAGATTTTCAAAGGACTTCATGGCCTAATGCAGTTCAAACCCACTGAATTAGAAGAGGCCCTGAATTTATAACAAGGTAAAAATTAAAACTTACATTGAAGTAAGAAACGCTGCTATCCAGAGCCCCAGAAACGTTCCCTGTGTACCAATGGATCTTTCAGGGAGTCACTAGCCTATTAAAATGCCTATGGCGTCTTCTAGGAATAGAGGTGGCCCAGGGGACAGACATGGATTTCAGTGAGTGACAGGTAAGAAGAGGATTTCCGGGTGCGGCTCACAGTGTGAGCAAAGCCTGAGAGACCAAAACGTGGATGCTGGGTTTAGGTCACAGGCAAAGCATTGGAGACAACAGAGCAATCGCCAACAATGCTTATTCTCTGTGATCTGCAGCACACAACTCCCAGCTGCAGGGCCCAGTAGAAACTCCCAAGTCCACCACCCTGAAATTTACTTGGTTTGCAGTGTGGCCTGAGCCTTGGGAGTTTTCTTTTCCTTGCCTGATCTTTGTGTTCAGCAGGGCTGACAATCTGCTTGAGCAAATCCAAGAAACTGTGGTCACCCTCCTGCGTAAGCCAACCTCTGTCAATGGGACTGTGGAGATCCGGCTCCCCCAGGGCCTGTGATGGTTTAGAAACAGGGTGCAGTGAAGAGGTCAGGGCCCAGCTCTGAGGGGTCCCTAAGGCCAAGGGGACACCAGTACTCATCCCAGAGAGTTAACGTGGCTTCCACATGGAATTTTAGATATCGTGGCCTAGATGAAGGGGAGGAAGGGAGAGAAGCAGGCCCTGCCCACCCAGGCATGTCCCCTCAGCTCTGCTCAAGGAGACCTGGGAGCAACAGATGCCGCTCCCAGCAATGACTACACAGACTGAAGGCCACCAGCCCAGGGAGCGTGTCACCAGGTAACTGAAAAGAGTACACTTTCTAAGGAAAAAATTCTCTGGACCTAGCTCCTCCTGGAAAACTGGGATCAGGCGGGGAGATCAGACGGGGAGAATGAAGCTTCCCGGCCTCCTCGGTGAGCACTGAGGAGAAAGGGCAGGCGAGCGCGTGCGCTGACACACTGCAGGGAGAAGCAGAAACATCGGAGCCTAAGTTGTTTACCTGGAGAAGCACCGGAGGGTGGGACGCAGATGAATTCTGTGGAACTCTAATGCTCGTGCCCGTGTCTGGGTGAATAAAGCCCAGGTGGGGAGACACGAACCCGCTGGCCCCCAGATTTTAACTTGTTTCTGTGTCTCTTAATTTTCATCTTCATCACCCCTTGGTCAGGTCTGAGCTCACCTTGTAGGTGGCTTCCTACAGTTAGGGACAATCAGCTCCTCGAGGGGTGACCCAGGAGCATTTTCCTGCACAAAGGGGCACGTGAGCTTTTTCTCCGGAAAGGAGAATTATCCTCATCTCTTCTTGAGAAATGATCTCATTCTGTCTCTCGGGATGATGGAAACAACTGCCAAATGCAGCCCACCACAAATATTAACTGAAGAAAGGGACCGTTCTCCCATTTCTACCTTGGATAGCCAACTGATCCATGGACACAAGACAGAACCCGAAGCCCTGTGCCACTGGCTCATCTGAAAATCATGGTCAGGAATAAACATCTGCCTCTCATTTCTAAAAGGTCTTCTGGCTTGGATCCTACTTCTGAGTAATCTGAGGGGAGGTGGCAGCTCAGAGCGAACTCTTACTCTGGATGCCAGGACCCACCCAGCAGAGTGAAAGCATTCCATCTAGTCCAGCTCCTCCACAGAGCCCATGTTTATATCCGCTTTTATTTACAGCCCAGAGCAACACTATAACCACTAACTCTAGCATAGACTGAATAAAACAGAAAACTTCTATGTGCTGGGCGGGGTGGCACTGCCTGTAATCCTGACACCTTGGGAGGCTGAGGCAGGGGGAATTCAAATTCAAGCCTAGTTCACTTTAGCTACTTAGACCCTGTCCCAATTTTTTAAAGGTCTGAGGATGTAGCTCAGTGCAAAGATCTTGATTGTATTCCCCTGTGCCAGAAAGAGACTGGCAGACAGACAATGTGGACACTAAACCAGTGAGCTAAATAAGACTCCAAACAGCATGTGCTGCACAGAACAAACAACCAGCATTCCTGAGACTCAAATGCTACAGATTCAAGGTCTGAATATAGATCGATTTCCTCCTCCTCTCCCACCAGCTAGCAGAAAAAGTCTCTCTTGCCCAGCTGGTGGTTCTATTAGCCATCTTTTAATGACCTGGATTTTCACAACTAATCACTAAATATGGTTGTAAACTTCTGGCTTGCTGGAGTCACGCTGAATGAAGAGGAATTGTCGGGCCATATATAAGAACCACCACCTAGGTGACGTGTGTAAGGAACAAAATGATTTAACTTACTTTACAGAATAACACGAATCCAATCTTAGTAAGTAAATGAGAAGACTCACGTGTCTGCTTGGTACCGGCACACACATGGCTGGGCTGTGATCCTGTTCTCTGTAATCACAGCGTTTCACCATGTTGCACAAGGGCGCAACACGCAGTGCACAGGTCTATCCATCCCACTGTGGTGGGTGCAGGAGGTGTGGCCCATACCTCGCTGCACCCCCTACACACGTCCCCTTGTGTCCTTGTTTCCGTGTCCCCTCGCAGTCTACACTGAAGCACAGCAGAATTCAGTCGTGAAAAAAATCACTCAAAGTCACGTCAGGATGCTAGAAGCTAATGTTCTCATGGGACGGCATTGCTGGCCGGCTAAGTGCAAGCTGCAGGCTGAAGGCGCTGGCTTTCTTGGGGCCTGTGCACTGAGAGCCAATTCTTGGCCTTAAAAACTACACACACCACCACTAACTATGAAGAGGAACAGCATAGCCTCACAGTGGGTCCCAGAGGGACAAAAGCACAAGTCCTCGGTCCTGCAGGCATCAGCAAGGAAGTAGATGGACAGCAGCCCAGCTCTATAGAGCACAGGGCCGAGCCTCTGCTCCTAAGGAGGAATGTTTCTTTGCAGCACTGTAAAATACTGGCTTACAATGTTAAATGAGCTTACTGTAAACTCCCCAAAACAGGTGAAAGCGGAACTTTGGGAAAAATCAATTATCTCTCACTGTCTTAGTTACTTTGCTCATTGCTGAGGCAAAATCCCTGACATCCAAAGTTAAGGGAGGAAAGGTTTATTTGGCTGGCAGTTTGCAGAGGTTTTAGTCCGTAATTGGCTGGCTCCAAGGCAGGGTGGTGTGGCAGGAGAAACAGTTCAAGGAGAGCACAGAAGGTGGCAAAGCAACAGTGGACCTTAACAGTGTCTTTCTGTCCCTTTTATCTTATTCAGACTACTTAGGGTGGGTAACACTGACGGCCTTTAATAGCGCCCTAGGGCCTAGCACTGCACCCTGAGTCAATCACACAGTCTAGATCCAGCCACCTCTGAAAAAGCCCAGCCTAAGACAGCAGGAGGTCTGAAGGGACTTCTAGGCACGAGCCACAACCCTAGGAAACCAACTGGTATTTCCAACAGTGCTACTTCATTCTAACAACTAATTGTTAAACAGTGTAAGCTGTTGCATTACAGACTGTGCTGATACTTTGTATTCCAAACAAATCTTTGATTTAAGTGATATTATCTGTCTTTACTGAGGAGGATGAAGGAAAATACAGTGTTGTGTCTGTTGTAGTTCCCCTTAAGTAATTAATCATACTCAAGTTCTGCCCAAATAAAAGTTTCCAAACTTTAAGAGAAGCAACATATAATGACCCTAACAGACACTCCTAGCAGTGCTCCCACACCCCAGGTGTTAAAGACCTTACGGTTTAACCAATCTCTGGGGCAGGTTCTTGGTAATTTCTAAACAGTGATTAAATGTGCTAAAGATACCTGATTTTAAAAAATACTTGGGGTAGTTTTTACCAATTTCTCCACTTGTAGTATGCTCTTTCTTTCATATTTGAGTAAGTTATTGTTTTCTTTTTTAAAAATCTCTGCATACCTCCTGTGGCTGATTTTAATGCTTTCTGTTCTCACTATAAAATCAAGAACAATTTTTAACCTTTTATGAAAGTTGCTGCTTCCCTAGAGCAAGTCACTGTTCACAAAGGGATAAAACTGTTCTTAGGAAAGCCCCTCTTGTTGATGTTTCATTTGAAGCATGGGTCTTTTCAATAGTTTTAAATTATTTTAAGAACAATTTATAAAGAGAGGAAGTCCTGTCTTTCATGTGACAGTCTTCTAATTTAAATGGCTTATTCCACCCCCATGTGTTCACATATGGCTTAGTTCATTCTGGTAGTTACAAAAAAACACCACAGACTGGCAGCTCATAAACCCCCAGCCCTGAGCCAGCCCTCTCGCACCCCTGGGCATCACCTTGACCTCAGACACCCAGCCTTCCCCATCGCCCTGCCCTTCAGGATCCAAAAGAGTCACCAACTATAGAAATGATCCCTGAAAGTACAGCCTTAGGATCCAAAAGAATCAAATGCAAATCAAAGGCAGCAGCCCCCTGAGCTACTGCTGCCGGGCGCCGTTTCCCAGTCCAGGCCAGCTGTGATCATCACCACACTATGAGGCCCAAGAACAACAGAGCGGCTTCAAGAAAACTGCTGAAAGACTTCCCCAGGTCTTAACTATCTGCCTACGCATCTCTGCTTTCCCCACCCCACCCTCTATTGTGCTTCTGAAACCGCAGACTGCACAGACTCTAATAGCCCAGCTTAGTGTGCAGGAAGGAGGTGCAAAGCCGTTAACTGAGCCCACACAGCCCCTCAAGCCATGCTGGCCACTCCAGAGAGAGAACCTGTTCTCAGAACCAGCAAGAAATGAGAGGGTCCTGATCTGGGGGACTTAATGGTTTTAAGGCTGGAGACTGTGTCTGTGCACATCCTGAGGGTGTGACAAGGTGAAGTGATAAGTCTCCCCGGCTTTCTGAAAAGAACGCACAGCAACTCCTGCAGTACTGCTTTGAGGCACAGTGACAAGTATTAGTTGGACCCAGTTTTGGTTGAGCCCTGTAATTTTCTCCTATCTTTAGGAACGTCTCTCTTCACAGAGCATTCCTAAGACTGCTGTGACATCATCTCCAGGGCCCACTCGGCCCCCTACAGCAGCCTGAAGTCACCGTCGGAACCACTGGGGGCAGCAGGGGCTTAGTCACAGGAGACTGTGCCTCCCTCTCACTGTAAGCCATTTACCTTCATCAGAGGCAGGGGGATCTCTTCTGTCACAAGGGTTATTCCAGGAATTTCCTGTGGGGCGGGGAGCAAAACACACAACAGCTCAGCATATCAACGGCCACACGTTCCAGCCTTCAGGAAGCGTTTTCTATGTATACAGGAGCTAAAGACAGCTTCCAGTCTCTAACTTCGCCTTTAAATAAATGTGGCGTATATAAATAGCAGAGCCTATCTCATCCTTGAAAAGGGAAATATTCTTTAAATAATAGTTGACAGGGTCTGGAAAGGAACAGAAAAGATTACGATGAAAAAATTTGGAGTGAACATTGTATTCTTTTAAGAACAAATAAGGCAAATCCATTTGCATCTAATTCCATCTAACGTGATCATGAACAGGCGATGTTCCCTCACCCGAATTTGCCCTCCGCTCTTTCCCTTACAAGCAGTGCAGCCCGCCCATGCTTCATGAGAAGGAGCTAATAGGGTTGCTATGTAACTTAAATAGAAACTTTTCTCATCAAAATGTCCGGCAGGGTTTTGGAGAGAAGAGCTCTCTGTAATGTTTCTTTGGTACTGGGAATTGAACTCGGGACCTTGTGCTTGCAAGGGAGGCGGCAGCACCACTGAGCTAAATCCCCAGCCCTTTCCCCATAATGTTCCTGCAGTACTTGTGCCACAGCCAAGCCAAAATGCTGTGTGGCCGGTGAGCACTCACAGAAACTTCAAATGCTCCACGTCAGAACTGCCCTGCTCTCACTGGTACTTTCAAACAGTGTCTCTGCGCTGACTATATAATCAGCTTTTCATCCGGTCAATTCAAGCAAATGCTATATGAGAAATAATTTAGGAAGTGCTATCTAAACATAGGAATTGGGCTTTCTTTAGAGTTCAAATGACCTGGCTTTTGCTGACACAAAGTATCTGGGGGGTGGCATCATAGCAACAGAAAAAAATTTCAGAACATTTGAGCAACTGAGTTTTCCATGTGACAGCAGAAACCCTTGATAAGAACCTGTGTGCTGCTCCCATCGGACACAAGGGCAAGGGACACCACAAACAGTCCTACAGCTGGAGGGTGGGAAGGCATTTTTAAAGCAAGACTGGCATTTTAAAACAGGTATCGCTGTTTCCAAAGCACAGTTCAAGATTGTCTAGGCGTGAGGGCACCATATTTTCCAGAATCTTTTTAAAAAACCCAAACCAGTTATTTCCCATTTGGAAGTGTGTACTGAGTGTTTCTCCACTGTGGGAAGTTTTTAGATTAAGGTGGAAGAGATGGTGGATTGGAGAAGGGAAAAGTAAATGATTCATATCATTTCTAAAGAGGGTATAAAGTCACAGAACTTCAGAATTAAAGAGGCCTTTTAGGTAACCTATTCCAACCTCAAGAAGTTTTAAAGTAACATGGTAAACCCCAGACTAGGCCTGGTAGGTGGAGGTTACACATGTGGGTTTCTGACACTGTTCTCCACACGGGACTTCCTGGTGTCATTTCGTGTGTTCACAGTGGCTCCCGTACCCCAGAAAGGCAAACGTGAAGCCTGCCTGTGAGGATAATGCCCTCACATAACATCCACCTAGCGCCCCATCACTCACGGGACCCTGGTCACTGAGCACAGGACAGAGAGGCAGCGGGTGCTGAGGGAAGGCAGCTGAGATGCACGTTTCCGGAGCCCAGTGTGGTGAAACCTGCAGACTTCCTGCCGCATAACCACAGAGTCTGCACCGCGTTCACCAGTGTGCTCTCAAAGAGAAACGTGGGCACCTCACAAGGAACAAGCCCAGGTCTCTCCTCTGCAATCCTACGGTGATTTTCATCGTGGTAACTCTGCTGGGAGGAGACCAGGAAGGAGACTCCGAGAGACACTGCTCCAACACACCGAAAATTGAGAAATTAACCAAATGCATTTGCTGGGTCTTTTTAAAGAACTGTATGTAGACACAGTCTAAACACACAACAGTCACAATTTACCCTACTGCATAGTTTCCCATGCCTGTAATACCTAAATTAAATTTCCTGAACTAAGTTTGGTTTTGATACAACTTCTATCTGGAGACTTAAGCACATATTTCCAATATCTGAATGGAAAAAAAGATAACGAAGAATCTTTTTCAGGCACAAACTTTGCATTTTTCCCTTGCTAATCCAGCAAAGCTCAGTTTACCACACCAAATTCAAGAGAAAAACACAGTATTTTAGCTCAGCTCTTCTATTTTAAGAGGAAGGAATTCAGAGGGACAAATATAAAAGGTGAGATGGAGCGAGCCTGACAAGATTGCTGACTTTCATCGATTTTGAAGTTCTTATTACGTATGAGGCTGGAAAGGGGGTCATGAATGTCCTAATCTACTAAGTGTGACTATACTGGTCCACCTGTTTCTTATTTATGTAAAACTAAGGGGACCAGGGACTTAGCTCAGTAGTCCGCTGCCTGCCTCATAAGCGCAAGGTCCCAAGTTCGATCCTCAGTACCAACAATAATAACTAATACTTTAATTCACTCTCGTCAATATAAAAACAAAAATAAAAATTTTGTTTCATGAAAATCCCATGAAAGAGGTTTAGTTCTTCCTGGTAGGAAAGAATAACAACTTCCTGTACCTTCTCCTTCGGTCTTTCCGCTTTATACCAATACTTCCAGCCAATAGCAAGGATAAACAACTGGTTTAGCTTCTCCTCCCAAGTGTTTCAGATTCGGGGTTTATTTTTCAGATTTTGGAATATTTGCACATATGTGGTGAGATACCTTAGGGACAGGACCTAAATCTAAGAATAAAATTGATTTGTTTCAGGCAGACCTTGCCCACATAGCCTGAAGGTGACTTTACACACTCCCTTTAGTGCACCATCCTCTTGAATTGGGAAGAGCCCCGGTATAGCCCTACCCTCTGCTCTTGAGTGTGGTGTGGCGAGATCAGGCGTGGAATTTTCCACTCGAGGCACCATGTTGGTGCCCAAAAAGTTTCACATTTTAGAACATTCAGATTTCAGATTTTCAGATTAGGGAGGCTCAATTTTTCTAGAAAATTCCAGCTCAGTTCCTTATCGGTCAAGACAGAAATGAAATTACAAGCTCTGCCCCTTGTCCCACAACTGGGGACCAGTTTTCACCGCATGCCGAATGCAGGCCGTGAACTCACCTTGTTCCAAGTGAGCACCGACGAGTACTGCAGAAGGACGTCCATGTTACGCGTCTCGGGACACACGCTCCAATACGAAGAAGCTGGGTAGATTTGTGAAAGAGTAAAAAGAGATGCAATTTAATAAGAATAAAGAAATTGACAGTATAATTCAACCAGATCAAGAAAACCAACAAAAGTTTTGATTGCTTTATGCTTCATCCTCAAGTGGCTAGCCATTATGATTTTATCTACTGACCGAAATGTTTAGGTTCTGCTTTTCACAATATGAACAGTTTTGAAATTTTTTATTTTAGAGTAACATTTATCCAAATGACACCTCATCACTTTCTAGGGCTGTCGCAGCCAGTCAACATAAAACTGAGCTAAGAAAGTTACATTTTACTGGGGAAAAAAATAACGTTAAGGTTATAAAATCCAAATCCTATCTTATTTCTCATCAGTCTCGAAAGCCACAGTTTCTCACAAAACCACAAGAGAATGAAATTTAATTAGCTACTGACGGTGATATGTTTTATTTTGTTTTTTTTAAGTGCTCCTGAGCAGCATTTTGAAACCTGCTTCCCTCAGGCAAAAGGGTCAAGGGTGCACCTGACACTCACCAATTATAAACTCCTGAATGAGGTCAAATGAGTGGCAGGTAGAGAAGTTCTCAGAAATCCACTGAATAATCTTTACAAAGTAAGACAACAGAACCGTTAGCATTTAAATCTGCACTCCACCCCTGCCACCAAAGAACTACACACACGCAGAAAATATCAACATTTTAAATTCTGCATCTATTTTGGACTTGCCTGAGAAATCAAGATACGTAAGGCTGTTGTAGGTGGATGACATAGTTTTATAAATGAGATCCTTGTTGCACACCTTTTTAATAAATGCCCTTGAATCCAAATGAAACTTTCCCAATGTGACATGTGTTTTTTCTAGAATGGACCATGTTATACAAAGCAGTGGGGACAGATGTGGACACAGGAGCAAATAAATCGAAACAAAACCACAAGGATTGGTGCAGCAACCTGGGTTTGAACACTGACTCGGTCCCCAGTGTGAACACTGTTTACCCTCTGGGAGCATTACCATAATCCCCTCTCAAAGGATGATAATCAACTCTCCTCATCCCAACGACTACCTTCACCCACTGGAGGAGGGAAGCCTGTTTCCCACCTGCAATGTGACGGACAGGTAAGGCCTGCCCAGCCCCAGTACATGCCCTCACATTTTGGCCCCACCAATCAGCTGTTTTACTCAACCTATTTATGCCAGTTTACTCATTTTCACAACTAGGTAATTTCATAAAATTTATTATAGACAAGTGGAATACAGATGCAAAAAGAATGTTATTGCGTCAACAGAAGTAGGATGCCTTGGAAAGACTCAAAGGCATGTGTTACAGTTTAAAAGGCCCCCCCAAATTTCATGTGTTCAAGTTTGGGGCTTTTGGAAAGCGCCTGGATGAGGGCACTAACCTCATCAATGTATTAGCGTATGAGGGGTTCACAAGCTGCACGGACCTGGAGAAGTGAAGCCCAGCGGGAGGAAGTGCCCGTGGAAGGGAACATCTTTTCTGCTGTACTTCCCCTTTCTCTACTTCCTGGCTGAGTGAGATTAGCAAGTTTCTTCTGCCTTCTGCCTTGGAGTTGGCAGACCATGGACTGAAACCTCTCAAACCCTGAACCAAAATAAATCTTTCCTCTTTTCAGTTGTTTTTCTCAGGTATGTGATCACAGCAACAAAAAGCTGACCAAGAAAATGTCTCCAAATACTAAAAAACTAATAACAGATTGGGTTTTTAAATGTCTGATACACAAAAATTGCCCTGGAAAGATCTTAAATTATTGTTCTCCCTAGAGTTGAAATTTTTCAGAAAGTAACAGGAAATCAGAGATAACACATTACTAATGGTTTGTGCAAAAAAAAAAATGTCTTTGAACTCCAGTTAAAGGATACACAAAGAAAAAGCTTTATCCTACATCAAAAGCTGGGGAAAATAAATGTATATTGTGGAGGTTAAAATAAAATATCTCATTTTTTTCAATTAATCAGCCAACCATCAGTCCCAACCAAGTCTGATAAGAAGATTTTTTTTCTGATTTCACAGGATGGCTGTAAAAACTAATTGACAGAGAATATGTGAAAAGTGCTTCATAAACTATAATGCACATTACAAATATAAACTACCTTTATTAAAAATGTAAATATTTGCCGTAAGATTTTAGTCCTTTTAATAATATAGTAACATCAACTGTAGAACAGGAGAAAAAGAAAATCATTTGAGAAACTCATGATTTACTGAGCCCTTTCTTTCCTGGAACATAAATGGTACAATTAAATATTCACAATATGGAAGAGGACAGGAGTCCCATTAATCCTCCAAGACCGCCAAGGATGCCTGAAATCGAGATAGCAACTTAGCAACATGAGCATGCAGTTCTTTCTTTCCTCCCTACTTCAAGAATCTTCACCCTCTCGTTAAAATGAAACACTTCAGGCTTTCTCTGAATAGCCAGTGCAGTCATTCTTGCACGTAGAGGTTGTTAAGTAAAATAGGGGTACATGAGACTGCAAATACCGTGAGACTGCAGCGTCGACCTGGTGACCAAGACAGCCCGACTGCCTCTTGGGCAGGGAGCGTATGCAGCTTGGCTGAGCTGGACAAAGGGATGATTCAGCGTGGAGCAGGGTGGAGCAGGGTGGCAGGGATTTGGCCACACTGCCTGGACTGGTGTGTGATTTAAAACGTACGAATTATTTCTGGAATTTCCCATTTAGGTGATTTCAGACCATCGTCAATCGGGGTAACTTATATTGCAGCAAACAAAACCATGGATGGAGGGATGAGTAATGTACTCAAACCACAGTCCTCAGGCTGGGAGAGTCCTGTGCAAAGAAGCATGGGAGAAAACTACGTTCCAGTCAAGCCAGAGCCCATCATCCTCACCTAATTGGTACCAAATAAAAATAACTTTAGCCCATTCCAACAATGGATAAATCCCCTGGGTGCTACTCACGCACGAGGTCTGGGAGCGAGTGTCCTCACCTGGGCCTCCAGGGCCTGCTGCTCCCGGCCACAGGCCAGCAGACAGTGCAGCGCAGCCATCCTCTCGCAGTCCAGCCGGGAGGCCCCCAGGAGCTGCAGCAAGAAGGGCGGGTTGAGAGCCGCTCTGTAGAGCTTCCCATAGCCCCAGTCCAGGACCAGGGACCCCGACAGGGACTGCAAAGTACTCTGGGGTAGCACATTAGCCATCGTGTGGTTTCCTGGCCACAAAGAAAAAAAAAAGCGGATCAGCAAATAAAGGAATCTCCCTGGCCCCTCCCGGACCAAACATATATATTAAAGTCAAACAGACCCAAAAAGCCATACCCACGAGAGAAAAGCCACTTCCTTACCTGTCAGAAACAGACTGTGGCAGATTAAGTCTGGGTGCTGAATGTTAAGTAGATGAAAGAAATGACCGGGTAAGTAAACAGCCACGTAAAAGTCTGCAGAAGAGAAAGAGCTAAGTCATCTACACGTGGTAAAAGTCGGCCAGGTTCACATAAAACCCAGGACATCAGCTTTACTCTTCCTTGAAACTCTCAAAATGCAAACATTTTCGCCACTGAGGACGAGCCGTGTGACACCAGCAGGTGTCATCTTGGTAGCCCGAGCCTACTTATTTCTACAGGGGCCTAATTTTCCTCAAACACTTAGCCACTTAGTTTATACCTGTAGCTTTGTTTCTAAGTCAGTCGTGTGAATTTCAATGGACTCTGAGAGGATATTAGAATAAAAATATCAAACAACGTGAATTATTTCTTAATCTGATAGGTTAGGAATAGCTTATAATGGGAGTTTTCTTCTTTGAGGTTTCCACCACTTTGGGGAAATGCTAAAATTTAGTTTCCCACATTTGTCCACTCCTCATAGTCACTATCTTTTTGTTTAAAGAACAAAATTTTAAATTGATATTCATCAAGTCAATATCCACAGACATCCCGACATTTTGTGAAAGACTAATTTATTTCCTTGCATAGCTAGATGCTTAGAATTCACACTTCAAGTCCCCACACTAGAGATTTGGGGACCAGCAACATTTGCACCCAGACTGAGACAGGGCAGAAAAATAGGTTTCTGGACAATGAGAGAGTAGAAGTAGACCTGGCCAGTAATTTTTCTAGGTTCTCAGAAAACCAGAAAATTCCACATGTTAGTAGTGAATTTCCTAGGGAAGAAATATTTGGATTTTAAGTGAACCAGCTAGATTCCTCTAAGAGCAAAAAAACACACTAATTGTTGACATAAAGGGGATTCTATGGAAAGAGAAAGAGGACATAATACTTTATCCAACTGGCTTGCATGTCATTTCAGTCCACATGAACTAAAGTGATGGTAAAGTGCTTAACACAAATGATGGAAATCATCCAATTATCACGGCATTGACAGGAAAGCACAAGGTCGGATCTGGTGGGCATAGTGGGAAAGGTTCGACCAGATCTCAGGATGACCCCAACTGCGACCACTTAACCAGTTGTTCAGAGCTGTCCTGTGTCACTGGGACAAGGGCATTTAATACATGAGGGTGTGCTGGGCTGTCACATTCGCTGTGATCAGGTGAGGAATTCCTCCTGAGCTTGCTACGTGGGCTCTAAGGATCTGCAGTCCCTCCATGTGCAGCACAGTCCCACAGGAAGCATGACCATCTTGTCATAAATACCCACAGTTTTGTGGTAAGATACAAGTGTTTATGGGCTAAGCTGGGGACAGTGTTGGCTGGCTGCAATCCTAGCACTCCAGAGCGCTAAGGCAGCAGGACAGCAAATTCTAGCCCAGCCCTGGCCAACTTTGCAAGACCCTGTCTCAAAACAAAAAGAGCTGGAGATGTAGCTCAGGGTGACAGCTCTGGGTCCAACCTGCAGTACCCCACAAAACAGGCAAAGCAAAACAAAAAAATAGGATTCCCGTGCCAAACTCCAGAGCCTGTGGATGTGTTGAGTGTTGAGCGTAATGGAAGGAACCTGGTAGGTGTGGTCAGTATCTTGAGATGGGGAGAGCATCCTGGGTCACCCAGGTGGACCCAAAGGAACCACAGAAATCCCTGTGAGAGGGAGGTGGGGGTGGGGGGCTGGACTGCAGGGGAGGAGCCGATGTGGTGGCCAAAGCCACGCAAAACCAGCCTCGAGATGGAAGGCGAGATGAGGGACAACCCCTTCCCCCAGTCTCCAGAGGAAGCGTCCTGCCCATACCCTGATGTCAGCTCAACACTCCTTACAGACTTCTGACCTCCAGAGCTGTGACAGAATGTGTGTTTAAAGCCCCAAGTTTGTAGAAACCGGTAAGAACAACAGGGAAAAACTGACCCGGACTGAAAGATGCCTAGGCACACACCCCACCCTATCTACACCTCAGTTTCACCATCCGTAAAGTGGGATCATCCCCAAGCAGACCTGTCATAAAGATCAAGGTAACTCAGGTAAATTATTTAGCTTATAGAACTTGTTATTTTTATTTATAAGCATATCTTTTATCTAGGTGGGTTTGGGATTTGTGTAAAAAAATTCTAAACTCTATTCTCTAATTTTTCAATCAATATAAGTTCCTTCTAACAGGGTAACAATAGAAGGAAATTCTCAGCAATTAAAAAATAACGAAACATACATCCCCCAAAAAGTAATACTGCCGTCGTAAAAATTCCCTCTCGATCTGTGTAGATCTTGGGCACAATTCTGTGCTTATAAAGTAAAATGCACCTCAGAAGGCAAGACGACAGATGTGAGCCGGCCTTGTCTACCAGCTCTGTTTTCTGTCCCTCCTCGCTTAAGACCAAGCTGAAACCCTGCCCACCTCTTCAAGCCGGTCCCAGGGGGGCAGAAAGGAAGATACCTTTGCCCTTGCAAAATGTTCGGGTTTTGTAGTGGGAAGTTTCCCACGTCACTGTTGAGATGGGCTCCTGATAAAAACCAAGTCTCAGACCCAAAGAACTTTCTGTCTCTCCCCTTATCACAGGAAGCCACAGAGCCAGGCCTCTCTCGGGCCATTTCCCATAAGCTCCAAGCTCCTGGTGAAATTTGCCAAGCCCGGCCCAGGGAGTGCAGAGCACCAACCTCATCCAATAGCACCTTTCAGAGCAAAAGCCTCCGTTCCCACCTATGACGCGGGGCCTCACGTGTCTCGGTTCCCTTCCACCGTGCTTTCCTACACCTGCAGCATGCTAGCGGAGGGCCTTGGGACCAGGCTGGGGAAGGACGTCAAGAATCAGGTGCTCTGCACTGAAACTTCCCTTTCGACACTGTGCCTCATCCCACATGAGAACAAATAAGAGTTCTATTACTTAGTTCTCTGCTACACTCTTTGCGCCTCACCTCCTAATCAGCTAGAAAAGCAGCTTTCAGTAGAGAGGCAATGAACGTTGCCCTTCTTTACTTTCCCTTTAACAGCCTCCCCTGATGTGCTCAAGCCCAAAACCCATGTTCCCACTGCCATATTAACCCAGTGAAAACAATGCACTCAAGCTGGTCCATAAATCATTCCCGGGACTCACAAGCAGCCCGTGATTAGCAAGAGGGCAATTTCCCAAGGCCTTGTCCCTCTAGAATCAAAGCTCAACCTGGTGTGGTTTCTCACAGGCCGACCAGGGACATCTTTGCGGTCATCATTTTACACTCATAAATGGCTTCTTATGGACTGCTACCAGAAAGATAAGAAAGCTCACAGCCTAGCTTCTCTGCAGAGGGAAGACACGCGCCAACCCCACAGGCTGAGTTGAGTGGGAGGGGTGCGTTCCTGAGGAAACCTCCTCCCGCTCCTTCAGGCTTCACCAGGCTTGGTGGTTGTCATCCCGAGCCGTATCTCAGAGAAAACGAGGTGCACAGTGAAGAAAATGAGACAGCAGGGCTGAGGTACAGCCTTGTGTGAGGAGAGTCAGGGCGGGAGGCTCCTCCCACTCACCGAGGTTGAGGAAAGTGATGTCCTTGGTCACTTGTGAACCACCACTTCCGGGAGCCACGGTGAAGGTCTTTCTGTACCCTGCAGGGGGAAAACAGGAAGGCAAGGCAAGGACCTTACAAATCACAGAGCTGGAACTGTTTCCGAGGCAGCGCTCCTGACTTTTAGTCACTGAAACTGACACAGCACCTCCTGGCTTCCAGGGCTCGGCTGGGCCTCATGTCCGAAAGCCAGCATGGCCGGTGGGCCCGTCTGTGTGCAACCACTGCCTAGCAGTTGTTTGGGCTCATGTGTAACTTGAGGCCACAAGACGTGGGTTGTTCAGGGAGGGAGGGAGGGATCCACAGGAACCTTCTTGATGGTCTGAGAGACGAAGGCGATTGTGTGGTCACTAAGCCCCCGAGACATGTTCCCACCATGCCTCCCTTTAGTTAGGAGGAGGGGGAGTAGGCTAATCTCACCTCCTGGGTTTTGTCCTCTACTTACGTAACCATCTCCAGTAAAGTTTTATTCACTGGTTTTAATGGTGACATTAATCATTCGAAAAATGTGTGAAAACTTTCAACAAAATCTTGCAGGACTTAAGCATGCATACATGTGTAGCTCTGACATTACTTTAGTTTCTCCATGATTAAATTTTTTAACCCTTCTACCTTGGTCTTTAACACCAGGCTAGTATTAGGGTCCACCTGCAGAATAACAAACCTTGCATAAAAATGTATAAAGATTAGGGAAATAAATCAATCTATAAAAATTTTAAGCACATCCATACTATCACTAAACAGATACTAATGTTGAGGAAATAAACTAAATAAACATTCCTTAGCATGTTTCAGGCTAAAACTATTAAAAGGCCCCTGTGAGCAACTATGGGAACAGCTTGGTGCCATATCAATATCTTGGGCCAGTGATGTATGAAATGGAATAAACATATTTTAGGGTCCTGTTTACATCTGGGACCACAAAAACTTTTAACTAAAACCCTTTATAATGGCCTGCATTACCGTTGCACATATTTTCCAATTAGTAGTAACTAAAAGGCAAACAAACATCCTCTAGACAAATACATCACAGGCCCAGAAAAATATATAGGCCAGAGTAAAAACTCATAGTATACAATATTTAGCTAACTTGATTGCTTACCATTAGTTAATTTCTTCACGAAACATAAATTATGTAGGTGTAGAACTACAGATAAAAACTGCAAAGTAAAAAGATCACTAAAATAGCTTATTTTCTACTACATATTGAGAAAAGACTATTATGCAAACATTAAAACAATGAAAAGTACCTGCATGGAAATAAAACACTGAATATGTCATTTGTTCCCAAGAGTCAAACTTCTGGCTGTAACATACACACAAGCTTCCTAGAAGTAAGAACACATTTAATAGACTTTAAAAGAATATGTGTCACAGATAAAAAAGTTTCCTATCCACTTAACCTTACTTCTACTCCCTTAGCTGTCCTGCCCCATATGCCCCAAAGGTTACTTCCCAAATTCTACAGAGGGTCTACTAACACGTTGCTAAGAATTTTTAACCAACAACTATTGAACTTCAACAATTAGCAGTGCACTGACAGTGACACACCCCTACATGGGAGGTCAGATCTGCACAGCCTTTAAACTCCAAAATCCTCAGTGTTCCAAAATCTGAAACTTTGTAAGGGTCATGTTGGTGCTCAAAAAGTTTGGAATTCTGTAGCACTTTTTATTTCAGATTAGAGATGCTTTTATCCCAATCCCAATATTTGTATGATTAACTGGAGGTGGACATGGCTGAGGTTATAGCCCCAGAGCTAATATTAAATAGATGTACAGATCCAATTACCACTCTACTGAGGCTGATTTTTTAATTTCTTCTATTATACTCTATTAGTTCCTTTATCAAAGAGTCACAGTAGAAAAAAAGCCCAAGGGCCAGGGATTTAGCTCAGTGGTGCTACCACCTGCCTCGAAAGCACAAGGTCCCAAGTTCGATCTCTGATACAAAAAAAAAGGCCCATTTTCTTTTAAAAGGCTATTCAGGGACATTAGTAAACATTATGCTATAATATTTATCATTTGTGACTATTTGAATGGCATTTAAAATTGAAATTATTGTTAGAGGTACATTTGATTGCAATAGCTTCAAAACGCAAAACAGGAAAAAAGTAACTATAATAAAAATTGTAGCAATTCTGGCAAAATCATTAGTTACCAGGTACACAATGATAATTTTTCTTTAAAATTACAGTAGGCTTGGTCCGGGGATTTAACTCTGGTGCCACCACCTGCCTCACAAGCTCAAGGTCCCAAGTTCAATCCCCAGTACAAAAAAAATTATAGTAGGCTTATTTAGAATAAAAGTAATCATTCCTAAAGCATAAATAAAATAATAATTATAGAAGAATGAAAGTCCCATGTACTACTTTGACTACTTTTATATGGTAAATATCAGCGGGGGAAAGGCCTCTGGTTTAATTTTTGTTGTTGTTGTTCTTGGCTTTTTGAGACAGTCTCACTAAGAGGTCCGGAAAGCCTGGAACTTACAGTGATCTCCTCAAGTGCTAGGGTACAGACCCGTGCCCCCATGACCCGGTCTTACCCTCTTTTTTTGATGTTCTAGGATCACAAAGAGAAAGAAACTGCTAGCAAACACAGATGAAAAAATAAAGAAGTTTCTTCAGTAATAAAGAAATACTAAAGCAAGGTACCATATTTTCCCTTTCCGGTTACCAGAATGTTTTTCTTAGTGTATGTTTACAATATATAATACCTATGCATTAGGGAATTGATATATAGTCATATATTTAGCCTACCTTGATTATTTTTGATGCTTTCCTCCTCTTCCTACCCTCCTAATTCCTCTGATCCCCTTGACGGCACATATAGATATCTACATATATTAGACACACACATTTTCTTTATCAATTTAACTGCTAATGGGCACCTGGGCTGTTTTCAGAGCTTAGCTATTGTGCACTGCATGCTGTAAACACAGGTATGCCTGTACCACTGGAATATGATGCCTTTAACTCCTATTACTTAGAAACCTTCTAGATACCTAGAAGAGGAGCAGCTGGGTTGAATGGAAGTTTGGACTGGAGGGCTCTCCGTACCGGTTCCATAGTCACTGTAATTTGTCCACATTCCCAGCAACAACGCTCAAGGGTTCCCCTTTCCCGAGCCTCACCAGCATGTGCAACCAAGGTTAAGAACCACTTTCTAAAACTCAGCAGATCTGGAGGTGACCCTTGGCTTGTGGCTTACTAAGTATACTGCGTCAAGCAAGTTAATTTAATTCTCTAAGCCTCAGTTTCCTCGCTTGTAAGAAAATATAGAACTGATGTCATAAGGTTCTTGTGTGAGAACTACATGAGGCAATGTGCATATGACCCTTGGAAAGCAGTTGAAACTGGACATAAAAGGTATTATGCTGTTATCCCACAATTATTTTGGTGCTACTTATAAATTGGAGGAAGTCACTGTTTGAACAAACAAAGCAAAGTATGTCCTTAATGGTACATCCAGAGACTTTTAATAAATATTCATCGGAGTTAAAGAGAACATCTCACCACTGACCAGACTTCAGGAAACCATTTAGATAGTAAAAACTATTACAAGGTTCTCTAAGGGAAATTATTTCACTGGGACAATTATACAAGGCCCTAAAACGTGCTAACACGCTGGCCTGATCGTGAGGGCTTGTGAAAGGTGGCTCTTGCAATGACGGGAGCAGAAAGGACACATTTCCTCATCCAGCTCCGCTCAGCAGGTAGGGTAACAATCCTCGTTACAGCTGCGATCAGCGGGTCTGAACAGGCTCTGAGTCGGCCGTGTTCTTTCCCAGAGCGGAGCCTCCTGACCTCCATACCAGCGCAAACCGAAACTCTCCGCCTAGCAGGAGCTGTGTTTAGATTCAACAGTTTCCTTCTCCAACCCCACTCGGCTGGAGTAGATCTTGCTTATGTTAACCGCAGGAGCAAAAATAATTTTTTAATAACGAACCTGGGAAATACATAAACAACCTATCTGTCAAAACCCAGAAGATCGCTTCTCCAGCTTGTTTCATTTTAAGTCTGGAAACATCACATTTGAAACAGGCTTATTTTTTTCTATTTTGGGGCTCACTGTGAAGAGGAAGGCTCATTTCTATTCTCCCAGACATTGCTGAGAAAGGAAAAAAGAAAATGGATTTTTTCACATCTTGTGCCAGATAAACCTAACATTTTATTAAATATGTCATAGGCAGCTCATTTTAAAGTTACACAAATTCCTATTGGAATAATATGAAAAAGAATAAAAAGCTACATAGAATCGAGGCCTTAAAACGATTGTTCACATCCAACAGATTTAAGTTGAAGTAGCAGGGCAGACCCTATGCTGGTCCCTCCATGAGATTTTGATCTTAGTTTATCCCACCTTGGAAGCAGAGTCACACCAACGCTGACTCCTTATCTTCTGGGCCTTATCTTCTTTCTCTCTACACCAACCCCGTCCTGTAAATGCTCGAACTCACGGGAGTCTCTACCATCTTAATAAATAATATTCCCGAATTCCACCTCCACCTCAAGCTACTGCCTCGCACGTCTACCATGCTGCTGTGACATCTTGAGCTTCACCTGCTCAGTGACTCACCTGGGTCACCAGGCTCCCTCCTCTGGGAGACCCCCTCCACCCTCGGCTCCTGAACCTCCACATTTGTTTCCCTCTTCCCCTTCCTCTGACATCAAAGGCCAGCTCTACTCTGACGAATGCCCGCTTTCCCGGCCTGGGACCCAGCCCCTCCCACACCTCTGCCGCTCACTAAAGCACAGCTGTCACCTTCCTGCAGCCTCCTCGCCCCCCAGCCAGCAGCTCTCAAGAATGCACATCTAGTTCTGTCACCACTGCAGGGAGGGAGCATCCAGGGACCCTAAAACAGCCAGGGGAGAGGTTGCCGGGGACACGGTCATCTTATGTGCCAAAGCATCACTACGGTTGCTAATCCAGAGGTTAAAAATGCCAGGGAGACCAGCAGCAGTTACCACTTGGCCAGGTGACCAAACCTGGCATCGCTAAGAGTCACACGTACTACGTCACCTGTCGCCTGCTCTGATGGACTGTGGTTCACACCCCTACGGTGGTGGTGAACCCATGGCACGTGTGCCACAGCAGGCTGATCGTTGTCACTGAAAGCTCTAAAGGGTTCGCCATCACTGTGCCAGAGGTCATCTCACCAGGACACTGACCTGTGTCTGCTATGCCTTCAGGCCTAACTTCCATTTTACCAAAATAGAGACAAAGGGAAACGTCAGTCTCCACACAGAAACAACTCAGCAAATCCAGCATGTGGGGTACATTTCTTAAGACAAAAAGGAGTCTTCAGTGAAACAAAGTTTGACAAAGGGATTGGGGGTGGGGGCAGAGAACACAAACACTTAACCAAACATAATGTGTGAATCTTGACGAGATTCTGACTTTAACTTATATGCAGACATATATTTTGTTTATATATACAAGTATACACATACATGCAAATACGCCTATAAACTACCTTTTCAACAATTATGGAAATTCGAGAATGAAAAATGTGTTGACTAGCGCAGTTAATTTCTCTCAGTGACAAGAACAGGTGTTACAATTATGGAAATTCGAGAATGAAAAATGTGTTGACTAGCGCAGTTAATTTCTCTCAGTGACAATGGAACAGGTTATAGAGAACTTGTGTGCTAAAAGAGATGCCTGCTAAATCTAAATTACTCAGTAGCAGAGTTACGATATCTGTAGCCATCCCCATAGAGACAGTGTCTCACTAAGTTGCCCACACTGGCCTTGAAATTGCAATCCTCCTGCCTCAGCCTCCCGAACCGCTGGGATTACAGGTGTGCACCACCGCACCCAGATACAATTCACTTTTAAACTGTTTAGTTAGAAAGAAGATAGTAACTATATCTGGAGATCATTATAAAATACTATAAATGGTATGATTAAATAACAATTCTATGGACATTCATGATACTCTGGCACCCTGGGATGCTTCTGCATTTTAAAACTAAATTGTGATTAGAACAGAAAAAGCCTGTGCCTGTGTGGTGGTGCACACTCGTAAACCCAGCACTCTGAGAGGCTGAGTCAGGAGGATCACAAGTTGGAACCAAGTCTGGGCATCTTAGTGACTTAGAGATACCCTGCTCCAAATTTTTTGTTTTTTTGTACCAGGGATCAAACTCGGGTCCTTCCGCTTGCGAGGCAGGTGGTGGCACCACTGAGCTAAATGGCCCCCACCCTGTTCAAAATTTAAAAAAAAAACAAAAAACGGCTGAGAGTGTAGGTTGGGGCGAAGGTCTTGCGTTCAATCCCCAGCACAAAAACACCGTCAATGACTTCTCTGAACTCTTCGGATCTCGGGATAAAATCCTACACGATCTGGCGCCTGCCGCCTCCCCGCCGTCTCTCCCGGTGCTGTGCCCTCGCTCCGTCACAGTTCCGAGCCTGTGCGGGTCCCCGGCTCCCTGGCCCCTTCTCCTTTCATCTCCCCAGGGCTGCTTTATGGAGGGACTTGTGAGGCCGGACAGGGGTCGAAGGAACCTGGTGAGATAAAGGCAACTGCAGGATGCGGATGGAGTGGGACGGGCTGGGCGGGCCTGCAGGGCGGGAGGACAGGTGGACTGGCTGACAGCGCCGTGTCTCCTCTGAAGCCTGCACCCCGTGCTGCTGCATCGATGCTCCCTCGCCACACGCATCAGGGTTCTGCTGCGATGCTGTGTGTGCACTTAGGTCACCTCTAAAATCCACACCAAACGGCAGCCTCGGTTCTGCTCACTGCGGCACCTCCAAGCCTAGCACATGCTAAGTGTTCAGCGATTGTTGGTTTAATGTGTGAATGCACAAAACTTCGGCTTTAAAGGGACGTGATTTTTAACCTTGATTTTTGATTTATATAATTATACATGTTTATAGAAAGGGCACAATCTTATCCAAGTGCTACTCAAGTAGTAAATGTCTGCTCACATTGGGATATTAAAAATGGCTACCAGACCGCTTTTCTAGAGTTGATTAATTATATGATTATTGAGGAAAGGAGCATTTTTATCCAATTTATTTAATTCAATCACATTCCTCTTCCCTCGTTTTCAGCTCTCTTTTTCTCCTTCGCCATTTTCTTTTTCTACAACAAGTGTTTGTGATGGGATAGAATGCTGTTAATCAGTCCCTTTATGTCAAGTTCGGAGTGTAAGGATGGGAGGCCAGGCACCTGGGTATCGAACCAAAATGCAGCAAGCAGTAAGCAGCTCCACCCCCAGGGGTCCTCTGTGAAAGATGGAGCAGGGAGAACACTTGAGCTGACTAAACATAAATCCAGCACCTCTATTACAACCATGCAAACAACTGTTAGAACGATAGTCCTGCCAACTGTGACTCCTTTCACACGGACAGAAGACGTGTACAAAATCATAGTGCAGAGGTTAGGGGTGGTGCCCAGTTTCACAGACTAAAATAAAACCCAACAAAATGATAGTGGATGTAGTACATGAAACATGTATACATGTGTATGGGTGTATGTATATGTCCACATGATTGCTGTGTAATAACGTGGCTGTTAGCTATCATTCTCATATAGCTCAACAGTAACTAAATTTTATAGAGCACTCAAGTATATCTGAACAAATTAATAAATACAACCCTGGTTCTACCTGTATGGCTGGTAAAGACATACAGAGTCAGGTGTTTGGACAACTTCTCTTCCTCTTCCTGATAACCACATCCAAAGTTGACAAGTCTAGGAGCACAAAGGAAAGGAAATTATCGGGTGCATTTATAAATACATCCCTTCCCATGTGATGTAGGGAGCCACAGGCACCCACAGAAGTAGGGGCCAGGCCTTGAGAAATCTAAATACAGTAATGAAAAAAAGTACGTGCTGCATAACTGGTGTGGTTGGGGCAGTAGAGAAGAAAAACCTATTACAACTTGCATTTTTATGATTTTTTTTGTGATTAAATATACTATGACACTTATACTATCCTTCAAAAACAAGCACAACTAACTATATTTGATGAAATAAAGCTAGTGAAATATAAAACCATCTGCTAATTCAGAAAGATTTTCATTTCTTCTGTGCTTTGAGGGCCTTATTATTTTTTTCTAAAAATGTTTTACATTTTTACTACATGTAAAGTACTCTAGCAAAAGCAAGCAAGCTTGCCTTTTGTATAAAAAGAAAAACAGAAAACAGAAACCAAAGCAATACACTCAGCTGAGCTACAAGTGGATTAAGCTGTTACATCTTGTTAAGAGAATGAGAAAAGGGTTTTTATGTTGGTCCTAATGGCCACTCTCTCGCACTGAAACTTTTTATTCATGGGAAGAAGAATGCTTCCATACATCAAATTAAATAAATGGAAAAATGGCTAAGAAAATCAACACAGCTAGTGTTACATATAAAACCCTATGTTAGTGCTTGACAAGTTGTCTAAATCCCTATACAGAAAAAAAATATGAAAAGACACACACAGACTATCAAACTGTCCTTCTGCCTGCCCACCATGAATTAGGAATAAATGTAATTATTTTGTGCCTATAAAAATCAATAACAATCTATGAATAACTTACTTAAATTCAGAGCTACTAAGTGGTATGTCCAAGGCTGTTTCAAACTGCAAAAAAAAAAAAAAAGAATCAGGAGACAATGAGCTCCAAAAAATGGCATTCAGTAAAGATGACAGTTGGGACACTTGGGCAAGCCTGGCAACCTGTGCCAGACGGTGTGGGAGCTGCTGACCATCATTACCATGAGAGGTGACCCGCATCCTCAGCCAGAAGTGACCAGAGCGCCCTGGAGCACACACGCAATCGATCACAGGGTTACTTGTTGCAGGGCAAATGCCTGGCAAGCGCTCCCTTAGATGCCAGCATCGCAGACGGGCTGTGTCGTAGGACAACTGACCCAGGCGTCTCTTTCGAGACACGAGGACCGCTTCAGGAAGGGAGGCCCGGGTGTCGTCAGAAGGACAGTGGGACACCCTTAGAAGGCAGAACAGCTAGAGATTCCTGTGACATCATCAACTCGCCTGTCCTGGACGCCAGGGTTAGCCCTCAGCGAGAAGAAAGGAGCAGGGCCACAGATCAGGACGTGGGCGCTGGCTCAGCACCGGCTAAAGCTCGCAGGCGTCTTTCTAGGAGTGATGCTAATTATTTTCCACTAATTAAACCAGACCCCCTTACTGGCTTTTCCCCTCGTCCTCAGTCCACCAGATTCACGAATCCTTTTGGGTCAAACGAGCTGCAGCCACTTAAAGCTATCTACCGCAGGCCACATCCTCTGCTGGTGAACCCTGCCCCAGTGCTCGTCTCCTCCACGGAAGCCACATGGAGGAGACTCCCTGCGTGTGCGCTCCCCCTCCCCTGTGTAACTGAGCAGTTGTTACAGAGCTGAGGCCTCGAGGTAGCAGGCACTGCTTTATTTGCTCGTGCAGTGACCAACACAACATAAAAAATGCTACAATATAGTTCAGGACAGCAACTCTCTTGGAAGGGGCAACATGTTCTAAAATTTCCAGCCAATCATTCTCTGGACTTACCATTAAGGTAAAGCTCTCATCTGCATTAAACTGGATGCATTTTAAGATAGTCCTTGATTTCTACAAGAGAAAACATCATGACATGTTGCCTGTTCCAAATAAAATCAACAACAAAAACGCCAGGAAAAAAGAGGAGGGAGGGGAGATGAAAGGGAAAAGGAAGCAGTCAAGAAGTGGTCAGGATGAACGGAGGCTGTAGCTCAGTGGCAGGAGATTTGCCTGGCATCTGGGAGGCCAGGGATTCAATGCCCGGCACTGAACACAAACTCACAGAACCAGAGATACAAGAAGTACTTATGGTAATCTCGTTACTTCTCATAAACCTTCACTGACTGCACTCATCAATGAAAATTAACAATTGATAAAGAACAGTAATGATAATGTCCTACTAAAAAGAGCCCATGGACGAGTTTTTACCTTCATGTCAATGTAGTACAATCTCTGTTCTCGCATATCCCACTGAGCCCAAACAAAATCCTCAGCTATTCTGTCTCTTGGGAGATGGCCAGAATTTTTAATTACCTAGAGAAGCAAAAAGATGTTATAAGTAAATGAGTATTTTTAGAAGAACCGATCCAGAATCATTATTTACATATTCTGTGGCACATATAAATATTTCTGCTTTGTTAGCACTTCCCCTACCTCTGAGGCATACACAGACTTTCCACAAAAGTTTTAAGCATTATTACTCTATTCCTAGTGCTCTAAATATACTTTTATTCATGTTCCTCATTTAGTAGAGAGACTGGGGCTGCTGGAGATAAGACTACCCCTATCGCAAAGCAACTGCCCTAAGTAGGAGATTGCTAACTCCCTGTGGTGGACGGAGCCCTCAGTCAGGCAGAGTAGACCAAAAAGCTTCATTACCCAGGGCAGAGGATGGGATGCCAACACAACCCTCGGGCCTGGGATGGGAGGGATTGCAACAAACCCAGTGTGACCAGAAGCCAGCTGTGTGGCCCTGGGCATAACTCTTACCGTGCCACCCTGCACAGTGAGTACAATGGCCTGTTCCTGCTCTCAGAAGTGCTTAACTGCTCATCCATAAGGCCTGACTTGGGCAGGGCCTCCTGTACCAAGAGCCTCCCCTCACCTCTGCATTCCTATGCCACGTGGCTTGCTTTTTTTATTACAGTTACATAGGAACTAACCCCAAAGCCCCCCTGTGAGTGTGCACTCTTTCACAGCATCTTTATTTTCCTACTTCTTGTTTCCTGCATGTAATCGTACTCAGGGAATGCTTGTTCAAAAGAAAGAAAATGAAATGAGGACTGTACAAGTAAACTGCTAAGGATATTAGACAAGGTATGATTGAACCACACGGTGAATGTTTAAATTTTTAAAGTTATTATGGTAAAAGACACACTGCCACCAAATCCCCAAAAATACTCCCCCTCACTTCAAAGATACTTATCCCACCATCCTTGCCACTTTCTGAAGCAGAACTTCAAGTTCTCTTTCAAACATGTCTTTAGCAGGTGTGATCAAAAGTATGGCGAACGCTGTTGCCGAGCACCATCCACTGAAAGGCAGGCTCGTGAAAACACCGATGAGTCCTCATCCACCTTGTTCTCCGGTCTGGCTCTTCCCCAGAGTCAAAATGACCAAGAATGGTAAATGTTTTCAATCAATTCAGAACTTCAAAACAGCCACAAGAGTACAACTAAAGACACTCCGGGAAGACGACTTCAGAATGGTTTCAGAAAGTGACAAGAACAATGGGGGTGGTGTCCTGAGGGGGATTTATGGCTGTGTGTATTTTACTGCAATAAAATGTATAAATTTAAGTATTCACTATATTTTTAGGTCACACTTCATGATTTAAAAGCATTTAAATGACATTAAAACTATATAAATGTTAAATCAGAAGATTCTAGAAGTTTCTAGAAATCATCTAATTCAACCCCTCTACTTTACAGGTGAGAAAACTGAGGCCTTGTAAACAGGTTTGCTTGAGTGAGGCCTGGTCTATTAGCTCCCTCAGGAAATGTCCTGGACTGAGGTAAAGTTAAAGATCATTAATACCCACCTAGAATTTGTTTGGTTTCACACATTAAAACAGCAGGTCTATATTTGAAAAGACATAGCATTAATCTATCAATGTTTCAATAGCATTAGTCTATCTTTAACAGTTTAGAAATAAGTCCTCTGTAGAAAGGAAATCTGAAGCAAAAGGAATTTCAAGTCTTTACCACTCTATTTCCATCTTCTTGGATGACTTGGATATGAAATTGCTCAATATCTTTAAAAAAAAGAAAGATAAATTTAACCTTCAAGAAAACATATCAGTATACTTTGCCTAAAACAGTTGGGAGCAAATTTTTACAGCACAAATACAGACTAAACAACTGGCTAAAAAAATAGTATTATCAAAAACAATAACTTCACCATAGAGACTCAAAAAAAAAAAAAGTAGAAAACTACCTTCCTCCCTCTTCTCTTTCCAGTCTGTTTCAGTCCCAGACTCATCACTGTCAGCAATACACAACCATTCATCCCTTCTCCCCCTTCCTTCCTCAACAAGTACCTGCCCCCCAAAGAGTCCCATATGCAGCTCATTTAGCAAGATTCACCTTCAGTTTCCAAATACAAACACCTGTCTGTGCATCTACATAGACAATGCGATGCACTGCGGGGGCAAGATATTTGGGAAATACATTTGTATGGGATCAATTTTACCCAGAACAGTTTTGGTCAGTTTGTAATTGCCCCTTGTTATCATTAGCAATTTAGATTCTGCCCCCCTTACCTTCTGCCAGTTCTGGTTACAAAAATGTGAGAAAAGTGAGTGAGGTCACAGGGACTGAATACAACCCCAACCCTTCAATTCAAGCCTGTCCTGAAACCCTAAGTCAGAAGCTCCATCTTACTGCATGGAAAGTTGCTAGATAAGCTCTATCAGTAAATGGTGTCCTTCCCCCCTTCTCACATTCAAAAATATCATGCAAGGACGTGACTTTTGCCACAATCTTTTTTTTGCCTCTACTTGAACTTGGCCAAGTCAGTATCCTCGGATCTACCATGGGATTCTTCTTGCTAACAAAGCCTCCTTTTCCCCCATCTAAGTCCACTTCCTTGCATGCTGCCATCCACTGTGATAAACATGCCGAAGAATGGTGGACTGATGGTTGGAAGGATGAGCTCCACAACTGTCCTACGAGCGTCCCACCATGTGACAACACTGGCAATCTACGTGTACGAAGTGCCCATCATTCCCAAGACGAAGCTCAAGGGAACAACACCTGGGCCAAAGGGAAAAGTTCTACCACAGGAATTCTATGGCTCAAATGGACAAAGGCTATTGGACCCTCGGTTGCAGCAAAGGCATCTAGAAGATTCATTCATGTCCCACACTTCAGTAGGAGACCATGCACCATTCACGGGCCCCCAGCTGTCACCTGAAGATGCACTTACATTTCTCTTCTGAAACCAGTAACAGGTGGCTTTGTGGAAGACGATGACTTGCATCATGTGGGTAGAGGAACTGGAAAAAGGAAATTCATCAAAATTTTAGGCAACTTTCTTGCTTGCACAAATACTTCAAAAGCTGTATCTGAAGAGCGGAAGAGGTAGCTCAGTGGTAGGGCACTTGGCTGGCACACACAGCCCCGGGTTCAATCCCCAGTACCGCAAGAGGGGAAAAAAAATTGTGTTTGATGACTACACCACTGCTGCTGCATACCACACAAGGGACTGGGACCCACAGGATAGTTTAGGGGAATCACAGGCACGGTCACACACACACTCCACAGGCTCAAGCAAGCAGAAGAGAAATACTTTGAGGATCTTAGTCTCCCAGAGGGAAGCTGATCTCTGGTCAACACTATCGCCATTCTCTTAAACGGTAAGGCAAAGGGTGAAGCTATTTCCAGCAGCCGTGCTTCCTACGTGGCACAGTGGCGATGCAAGCAATGCCGATGAGCTCCGTGCTGTCACACACAGAGGGGTCAGGACATCTGTTGTGCAACTGGACCTTACACAAGTAATTTGAGAGCCGTGTCAACATACTCCCCTTTCACTTCCAAAGTCCTACATCCAAGAAACAAAGCACAGCATGAGAAGGGACTTTCCAGGAAAGGGCGGTGAGTCATGGGGAGGCTGTGGTTAAAAGCCCCACAGACAGGATGACTTCTGCAGCGGAGTCTCCCCCATTTCTCCTTCATGGTTCCCTCCATGGGGCCACAGCCATGCAAACCAGGCCCCGGCAACAAAAGGCCTGACCCTGACAGCTGAGATAATGCAGGAAAACTGGCCATGGGATGACTCCAGGGATTTCAGTTTCATCAACCAAAGGCTGATAAAATCCACCATTTCATTTTACAGCCAAGATTCCCCTAAGTAAGAGCCACCAGTGAAGTTTGACCCCACATTTAAAACATTATCAAAGGACATATAGAACCTTTTATTCTTTAGCTTTATAACCATGGGGTCTCAACAAAACCTAGGAAAACTTTTGACAAAATATATTAGTTGGTACTCTAACTTTTCGTAATAGTGTATTGGAAATAGAACTGGTCAGTTTCTTCAAGTATTTACAGGCAAATCTCCCTTTTAGAACTGCAGGGCTAAACTTGAGGTATATATTGTTCTCACAGAAATAACCCTAAAATTATAAACCTGGCAGCAATACAGAATTTGGCTACAAAAATGATACAAAGTAATTCTCGTGCCTGATGAGGCTGTCCACCATCAGGGCCAGCACCCCAGTATGGGGTTAGGCAAAGGCAGGGGCGCGTTTGCTAAATAAGGTGATTTGCCTGCAGGAGATAGCACAGGTTTCCAGAGCTACAGAGCTGTCCAGGGCAAGGTGCTTGGGAACACAATGCACGGAAGACCCATAAATGCCAACCTCCGAGCCTCCATTGGTCCTCCTGGGCCAGCTGGTAAAAATGTGATTTTTAAAGATCCATGTTGGTGGTGCCCGATTTTCTATCTGTGTGGCAACCCTAGAGCAAGGCCTGAAGGTCAGCAACAAAATAGGTTTCAAACACAGCTCTCAAAAAAGCATTCATGGGCCAGGCATTTAGCTCAGTGGTTCCACCGCCTGCCTTGTGGGCACAAGGTCCTTAGTTCAATCCCCAGAACCAAAAAAACAAAAAAGGCATTTAGGTGGCTTTTTGCATTTTAAATAGGAATCTGGACAGATGTTATGCATTTTTAGGAGAACACGTATCTTCCTGGATGTGGAGGCAGACGTGGAGGTCAGTGTTACCTCCGGGAGGGAGGTATAGAGGGGTGTGTGTCTCCCCACTGCGGCTGCCAGGAGGAAGCAGCACATAGAGAAGGAACCTCAGGGGGTCCCACCCCGCCTAGCCTGCCGAAAGGTGACCAAGACCGCACACACCAGGAAACCAGAAAAAGGAGTTTGGTGCAAGACAAAGCCAGTGGGCTGCGAGGCAGTATTGTCCAGATGCTGTTGTGTGTCAGATGCTTTGTTTGTTTAACTAAGATTAAGTTCAGCTAACACAATGCATCATTTTCACCACTTCAAAGCACACAAGTTTTAGTAGCTTTTAATCTGTTCCCAGTGCCACACAACCACATGCTTCTGAAACCCTCTTTCCTCGACCCGGCTCTCGCCCTTCCTTCCACGGTGTCTCTGTCCTTTGCCCTGGGGAGGCTGCCAAGGAAGCCACAAAACAAGCAGAAAAGGGAATGGCACTGTGTCCCACGGGCACCCTGCCCTATGACAGCAGACTGAGTGGCTTCCAGGAGGGGAGGACAGCTGGGGAGTGCTGGGCAGGCAGCAGGGCTCCCAGCACCCCAACAGACGGAGCCCCCCAGCTGCCCTGAGGAACGGGAGCTGGAGAGAGGCGACCCCAGGGGACCAACAGTGCCGTCTGACACCAGCAGAAAGCAAAATCAGACGCAGGAAAGTTTGCACAGCCTGTCTGACTAGAGGCGACTCTTGCCGTTTGTGGGAGCTGTCGCCTCATGTCACACACTGCGACCTGTGAAGCTCAGGCTCCTGGTGGGAGCCCCGTAACTCGCGCCCGAATGAAGCCAGACCGAGGAGGGCATTCATTTCCCGCCCCGGCCTCCTTGCACTTGGTACAGTAGACAGCACCTCCACCCTACACCGCGAGGCCTCGCCAAACCGTGAATGGACGGGAAGCACAAAACCTCAAGAGTGTGGCCCTGGGCCGAGCAGACACCACTGGTCCGTGTGACCGGAACTGTCTGTCCACCTCTCAGCACACATCTGCAAATGGCGGGAAGGGGCCATATTAGCTTCCAGTTACAAAAAAAACGTTTAGAGGGTAAAACTCACAGACACAGTCTGCCAGTACAGGAGACCGACTGGTCGTCGTACACGAAGTGCTTCTGTGCTGACTCACATAGACAGTGGTTTCAGGAATTAAGTCATCTAATCCAAGACAGGCGGTCGGCCATGCCACGACATTAAATGAACTATTTTTAAGCTGATTGCAAATATGTTTTAATATTTGACATTTTATCAAGTGAAGAACTCGCTCTCAGGCAAGCTGCAGGGTAGCAGAGCTAGACCAGCTGGGTTTCAGACCTTAATTTGCATTTGCCAGGGAAGAGCTACCTCCTGCCATCCCGGTCTGCAAGCTGCGTGGAGGAGCGAATGTGCCAATGCGTGGGGAAGCTCTTGGTGGACAGCTTTTGCCCCAGGCTTCCCACCTTATGAGCAACAGACTTAACTGGCAAGCTCACTTACCTGTACCCAAACACAGCTATCCACGGCCTTTAGGACCTTCACACCGTTAATGGGGGAGATTTCCACCAGCAAAGTTAAGCACTTTGATCCTACGGAAAAAAGGAGGCTTTCAACAATGGAGACTTGGGTAACACGCTTTATCTTTTCCAAAGCAACAGGGAGAGAAACTGTGGGAGAATCCTATTACACTGACTGTAACTTAGCAAAACAATTCTCTCATTATCCTAAGGTCTCCCGAGAGGAAGTAAACTAACTCAATCCCCAGTTCCGCTCTTCAGGGATGTGTGCAGCTCAAAGACCCCAAAAGAGCAACCAGCTAATAAAGGACCTGCATCCCACATCCTCAGGGATCCCAACGATGCTACATTTTATGGTGAGAAACATGGACGCCCAAAGAAGACCAACGTCAGGAGGGAAGTCTTTGAATAGCTCTGGAAATAACAGAGAACAGCAGACCCTAGAGGGAGATGCACTGATTTAAGTACGAATGGTTTCTGAAATCAAAGATTATCATTCTTTGTACTCTCGCCAGCAATACACGAGGGTCCCTGACAAGTTGGATTCTCATGGGACTCATTCCTCCCCTAGATGACCACAGTTCTAAGATCCACCAATAGGAATGCTTGAATTTTGAAAATGTAAGTGTGTTTCCTATGGCGGTAGCTATGCCACAAGGAAGAGTGATTATCCTCAGGTTTCCTTTGACATTTCTTAAACCCACAGTAGGGGCTGTGAGTGTAGCTCAGTGGTAGGGCACTCGCCTAGCATACATGAGGTCCTGGAGTCAATCCCCAGCACCACAAAAGAAAGAGAAAGACCGACAGACAGACAGACAGGCATCACAAGAATGAAGGCAAAGCGTGTGGAGGGAAACACAGCTCACAAGCCCTCTAGGCCTTTCAGTCTAAATAAAAAGCACTGGATTCAGTGTCCCTCCAGTTCTGCAGCACAATAACAAACATCACTTATGTATAAAAGTATAAAGCTATTTCTGGTGCCAAGCATGACGGCAGCTCTCACCAGGACAGGGGTTGGGCTTCCCACAGGAAAGTGCTAATGACCACTCGGGTCCTCAGTGTCACATCTGAACAAGTGGCACCAAAGATAGCAATGAGGAGGAAGTCCCTGGACACAGACAAGAGGGTGACACTGATATCCACGTTTAGGTCAAAGCTCCCTTTCCCAGGACAAACCCCGGAAAAGAAGGCACTGCCCTAAACTTGGAGTCTTAAGATTCCAATATAATCCGATGCTCTCTCGATGACTTTATTTTGAATACCAATGCACAATCTGGAGATGGCAAACAGCCTGGAATCAATAGCATTTTTTTAATGCACATTCAAGAAAGTAACCTCAACCAGGCATGGAGGCAGAAGCTCCTAATTCCAGCACCCTGGGAGAATGAGGCAGGAGGATAGGGAATTTAAGTCCAGCCTGGGCAACTTAGCTAGGGATGTAGCTCAATGCAAGGGCCCTGGATTCTATCCTCGGTATTCCAAGGAGAAAGAGAGAGAGAAGAAATAATTATTATTATGTGGAATCACAAGTATATAACTCTAGAACAAAAATGAAATGTTTTGTAAATGAGGTCTTGTAGCTTAGGACAAATAACCTGGTAATAGCGTTTACAACAGTTCAGAAGGGCTGTGTTCCTGATAACTGGGAGAGTAGCGAAACTGCTGTGATTTGAATCTGCTGGATGACTAAAACATGGCTCCAGGAATAAGAAGGCTATTGATGTATAAGGTACACATGAAGAAAAACAGACTAGAAATGTGCTGTAAATGATTAAATAAAGGAGACAGCAATTTTCCCTGACATGTCATTTACATTAATATATTAAATAGTACAAACGGACATGTGATTACTGTATCTCTTCTTCTAAAAGTTCACTTTTCCAAATGGGGAAAAAAAACAAGTTTATCCTCCTGTATGGCAGAGCAGCACCACACCCTTCTAAGGCATCTTCCCGAAAGAGTCGGAGACATCATCACACTACAGTGATCCTGCGCAAGGCCATTTTCTAAATCACAGATAACTTTGCTATGCCCACAGCCAAGGACAGAAGCTGTGCTGGTTTCAAAACCGAACAGCTGGGAATGGCACGTGCCTGTCATGGCAGCACCTGGGAGAACAGCCAAGTTCAAGCACAGCCAGGCCCCTGAGCAACTCAGCAAGATCCTGTCCCCAAATGAAAAATAAAAATGCGCTGGGGATGTAGCTCAGTGCGAAGGCCTTGGGTTCAGTCCCCGATACTAGGAAAAAAACTGCCTTGTAGAGTATGTGGATAAGGGATCTCTGATGTTTGAAAGTGTCACAGTCTCTGTCTCTCTCTCTCTCTTTTTCTTTGGTACCAGGGATCCTCGGGACCTCACGCTTGCAAGGCAGGCGGTGGTACTGGGCTAAATCCTTGGCCCCACAGTCTCTACAGTCTCGTTTGCAATGGAAAATCTCATGATGGGTGACAGAGTGTTCACAACACCTTCCAGCAACCTGCTCTTTGTAACCAGATGACTTCTAAGGTCACTGATGGGCAGACAAAACAAACCTTTCCAAATATCTGTTCAAAGGACAAAACATCACAATAGATCCCATTGTGCTCGCTCCATGGTTTCTGAAATCTGGCCTGAACAAATGAAACCTTCCTGTGCTGACCTGCTGGTGACTCCGGAAGGTGTCAGCTCCACCCGCCCAGCTTGCACCAGAACCCCTGCCTCTGATTTGCATCCCACCTCTCGTCTCTATGCAGAGTGTGACGAGGCCTCACACAGAGCACGTCCAAGCCAAAGCCTGCTTTCCTCCTCCTCCTCCGTACGTGGACACACACACACACACACACACACACTCCTGTTCTGGCATACAGCCTGGAGTAAGGCATCCTTGACCTGTTTCTTTTTCTCATATGCCTATCAAATCAGAAGCTAATCCTGACAAATTCATCTTCTACGTACTGTAGATCCAAATACAGCTCTTATCCCTCATGCCCTGGCCAGTCCAAGCCACTGGACTGTCTTTTCACTGAGCTCCCTGTTCTTCCCCTCTCTCCTGCGGTCCATCCTCCACACGGCAGCTATAGCACTCCTTCTACAACGTAAGTCAAGTCACACCCTGCTCAAAACCCACATGATTTTCCACAGTGAAGGCCCAGTCTCTACCGTGGCTCCTAGGGTCCTCATGGTCAGCCTGCATGTCGCCCCATTTTCCTTTGGCCTCATTTTTTCCACTCTACTCTTTACCACAGTAGTCCAGATACATTGTCCTGCTCAGTTTTTCTCTTGTGGTACTTGGGGTTGAACCCAGGGCCTTCATACTAAGCTACATCTCCATTTTTTTCTTTTTTTTTTTTAATTTTGAGATAAGGTCTCATTCAATCTCTAAGTTGCCCAGGCTGGGCTTGAACTTGTGATCCTCCTGCCTCAGGCTCCAAGAGTGCCAGCCTCGCTACCCTTGAATAATGAATCTACCAAGTATAGTCTGGGTTGGCGGCCTTTGTGCTGGCTGTTGGCTCTGCAGATAAGTGCTTTCCCTTCCTTCCTTCCTTCCTTCCTTCCTTCTTCCCTTCCTTCCTTCCTTCCTTCCGATCCATTTAAATAGACCCCTAACACTGTCATCTAGGATCATCTCCCAAATATGTGGCACTCAAATCCTTGCCCCCAAATCTACTCACAAGGATACACAAACTAAGAAGCCATCTCAGGCGGCACAGAGAGCAAATCCAAGATTGTGCGAAGGTTTCCAGCAGCACTATGTCAAGAAACACCGGAAGCAAGGACTTTCCTTTCTCAGACGGGTGTAGGAGCCAGGAAATCGAGGTTATTTCCTGGTTTTATCTATGCTCTTGTTCTTTGGGTCAAGATCCCAACGTTCTAGATCAGATTTTGCTTCAACCAGCCAGCTGCAGAGCTGAGAGTGTTATGGAAACTAGTGAAGGAGGAGGTGGCAGAGCTACTGTGGCTCCCAGTCCAAAGAGTAGGGAAAGGGTCCTCCGAGGGTCTCATGTGTTCGGAGGGGGCTTTTGGAAGGTGACTGCATCACGGCGGCACCATATTCACTGGTGGATTTACCCAATGATGAGCCCATGGCTGAATGTGCTGCTGGGAGTGGGCCTGGTAAGGTGTCACTGGTGACGTGACCTGGGAGGGATATGCCTGCCTCCAGCTCTTCCTTTCTCTCTCCACTTCCTGTTGCCATGGGTGAGCAGCTTTCCCCACCTGCCATTTCTGCACCGGAGCTGGCTGAGCCAAGATAAACCTTTCCTCCTGTGAGTTTCAGGTACCAGGTATTTTGTCCCAGTGACAGGAAAGTGACCAGGGCAGGTGAGTAAAACAAATGAGATCTCAGGGAGAGCCTCCCACCCACCTCGATCTCCTAGCACTTCTTTTGCAGAGACCCTTGAGAAGGTCCTGCCAGACTTGGCCCTGATTCCCTCGACTCTCTAGACTAGCTCCATGGAGAAATATGTGTCACGGGAAGTCCAGGGCTGCCCCATTGGCCTCATGTGGAAAGTGAGTGTCTTCAAGGGTTTTTCCAGCACATGCAACCACAGGAGAACATATCCAGTGGGAACTATGCCTGCAAAGGAGGGGATTTAAGTGTCAAATAAGTAGACCAGCTGGAAAGCACCCAGAATCAAAGCGATGAGTGGCTGTTACCAGATCCAGTGACCAGACCCTGAAAAATGGTGACTCACGGGCAGCTCCAACCCACAGGTGAATACTGTCGCATGAGCAGAATTTTTAATCCTCACCGACATGTATAGATTGAGATTTTTACATAACAGATCAGACTTCTCTTAATAAATTGGAAAGCTGGCCCCAGTGGAACTTACTGTTCCATGACAGAGAGCCCAAGCCTCATGAACAGTGGTTCCAGGAGGACCCCACCCCATTGCTAGTGCTGATAGCTCCAGAGCCTTTTCATTAGACGAGAAATGTGCTTGGCGTCTGTATAACCATGGAAATAACAAAGGCACTTCAGTCGTCTTACACTCCTTCCACTTTACTTCTGTATGTGGTCTCTCTGGTCATGGTACACATTTGCCCCTGAACTCTAGGGATGGATGCCAAGCTCCTTCTAAATACACTGCATCCCCAGAATTGTGTGAAGTTCCCGGGCCCCAGCAGGCAGCTAATGCTGTTGTGCCACAGAAGGATGGGAGACATAGACTGTTAAATAAAAAGTTTAAAATGCCAGGATCATCACACAGCTATTAAACTATCAAGTGGGGTTTGGAAAATGAGTAGAATGATTTTTTTGTGTTGGTGGGCTACTCATAAGCCATTAGGTGGTAGTTAATATTTAACTAGATCATTTAAAAAATAGTATTCAAGGCTTGTCCAACCTTTTACACCAGCTCCTAGCCAGGGGATTCTAGGGTATTCTCAGCATCTATTGACATTTCAAGTTCTCATTATCACCCTAAAACTTCTTCTTTTTACTGTTATATTAACTTGTTCCCTTTTATGCACTACAAAGCAAGAAATGTTTAAAGTCTTTTTCACTGCCTTTGACCACTGCCTTTTTCTTCTAAAGATGCTTGAATTTTGATCCAATAAATTTTCATCTCCTCATATACATGAAAAAGTACAATTTCACTACCTGGTTGAAGCTCATTCCTTCTTCTTTCTTTAGTAGATTGAACTAAACTTGCAGCTAATGGGGGAAAAAAAAACAAAAGAAACAAATCCATTAGCAACTGGCCCACATGGTGGCTTGTTAAAATGTACCATTTTATAACTAAAGCAAATGAGAGTTCAAAGGATCTGTCAGGGGAGCATTAAAGTAAAGCACAAAGGATTCTTTTCTGCAGTTATATCCTACAGATTCTAAATTTCAAACCAAGTATCTGAAGAGTATCTCTTTTCCAGAAAATCACTATTATGGAATAATAAAATACAGCAAGATTCAACACTTTGAATCCCTTTAAAACCCTGAAAGACGCAGTTTAGTCCTTGATATATAGCAATAAAAGAGGTCAGCTTACCCAGCAAAGTTCTCTCACTGTTGACAGAGCAACTGATGACGTGCAAGTCTTTCTCAAAGGTATACAGATGCTATTAAAACAAAAATTTTAATGCAGAGTTTTATATCTATTAACAGTTGTATGTAAGTCAGTTTGCCTTGGGCTATGTACCAAGTATTATTGTGGCAAAACATTTTACTAAAGAACCCTCAATGAACTAGTTCATCCTTGCTGAGACATTGGGATTTTTTTTTTTTTTTAGAAAAATGGGCCATATTTTGCACCGAAACAGTAGATAATTGAATATAGTGGCTAAGAGATAGATCTTGGAGCCAAACTAGATCCACATTCAAATCCTGACTCTGCCACTTGCTCTCTGTGTGACTTGTGGACAAGTGATTCAACCTTGCCCTCCTCTGTCAAGAGCATGCTAGCATCTCCCGGGGTTGTAAGGAGGACCAAGAGAGATGGCACATAGGAAGCATTTTAGTACACTGTGTCACTCGCATTGGGGTTGTACTTACTGAAGTGGTAGAGTTTTAATCAAATTACACAGCTGACCTGATGTCCATGGTTACGTCTAAGAGGCCACCGCATATGTGCAAAGATGGCTTCTATCCTTATTTAATTTTTTAAATTACATTTTGAATCTTCAAAGTAAAGACCACGTCTCTTCTACACTGAAGGACATGAAAACGGCCACGCAGAAGGCGGGCATGATGTGCATGCACACAACCACAGTTACAGTAGGCAGATCCTCCAAGTTCATTGGAGGACACAGGAAAGACAGAGTCCCAGAGAGAAGAGGTGAGGAGACGCAGGAATGGCAGAAGTGCCAAGAACGTAATTAGTACTTGCAGATTAAGAAAGATACGGCCAAGAGATCTCGAAAAATATTGGGAAAGTCAAGAAGCAATTAGAAAAAGTGAACTTCTGAGTTAATTTTTAAAAGGTACTGAATTCTTATGTGAAAGAAAATGATTGGTCTTTAGGTCTTGCTCTGAGGGATCCTAATTTGTAAAGGCAGAGGATCATGGATTGTAGACACTTGTTACTAATTTACCCTTTTAAGGGTAAAATAATATGAGTATAGCTTCAGTATTTAAAGATGCAAAAACTACCGGATAAAAAGCAAAATTCTTGCGTTATATTCAGCCAGTCCCAACTGCCTTCCAAAGAAAATATGTCTGTAACTTTTTCTGCAGCCTTCTGGATCTTTTTAAATTATTTTCAATATGTATTATAGCCCCAAATTTGATAATTTTCTTGTAAGTTTCTTGTAAGTTTCATAAATAGAATATATTATTCTGACTACTTTGTTTTTTCATGTAACAATATATTTTGAAGAGGCTTCTGTGCCTCTCTACATTTATAGTCTTATAAGTGTAAAAAATGAGCCTGGTGTGGTGGTTAATGCCTATAATCCCAGCATGAGGGAGGCTGAGGCAGGAGGACTGCTGTGAGTTCGAGGCCAGCCCTAAACTATGTACTAAGACCCTGTCTCAAAAATATATATATATATAAAATGGTTCCCAAAGAGGTTACTGATGGGTGTTTGGTTTACCTCCCACTTGTAAGTGCTACAACAAGCCAATGAACATCCTTTTTGAACTTCATATTTGTGAACCTGTATTGGAATTTCTGTAAAGTCAAATGTCAAAAATGGGATTTTTGGGTCAAAAGTTGTGTAAATATTGAATACTACAATTGAGAGCATCACAAAACCTTCCCACAGATGACCTTATGCAAAACAGACTTACAGAGTGGCTCATGAACCTGGGGTACATGGCTTCAGCATGGGCTTATCCAGAGCCGGAAATACCCATCCTTCTGTTTCTAAGGTTCAAGACATTTCCAGCCTCCACACAATGCAGCCCCAAAGCCACAGCAGTTCCAACCGCACACTCACACACCACCAGACCCAGCAGGAAAGAGTCGCGTTCCCAGCAAAGCCCATTCCCCACTTGTATCCCACCAGCTTATGCCACACTGGCTCCTGCAGGGACCCCCGGGTCAGCTGCATCACAGGGAGTGGGGGAGGAAACGAGAGAGGGGGACGAAGGGAGGCCTGCGGTCGTGCCCACTTGTGCACTGCTGATGTGCTGCTCCCCACCTGACCACTGCTAGGAGAGATGATGGGTCATTTGGTTAAAACTTCAGAGACTGAGCCCAAGGTAGAGTAGACCCACGTCCCCCTCCTCCTCCCACTTAGCAGAGCTAAAATCCTCGGATATTGCATAAAACAAACCTAAGAAGACTTGAAAAGTAGTAGAAAAACATACGCTGAGGGGTTGGCCACAAGTCAGTAAAGAGCACCTGCCTCACATGCACAAGACCATGGGTTTGATCCCAGGCACTGAATGGATTACAAAAAAGAGGCCGACATTCTAGGGATGGTAGGCCCTGGAGTGAGAGTGGCTTTCACATCATATATCCGAGATTTAAAACTAAAAAAGGAATGCAATAGAAACGCTGATAGGACCCAACAAAAGCAAATATATCCACCCTCTGTAGCCAGGGAAACAGGAAAGAGGAAATCTTTTAGACTACACCTGCCTTATTCCAGTCAAGCCCCATGGGGGGAAATGCAACCCTGTTCTTACCCCCACCAACAAAGACTGAGTGGGACCCTAGACCCCCATCCTTGTCTGGCTATGACAAAACACCTTCCCCCACACCTGGCTGAGTATTACCAGAAGAGACCAAGGAGGAAGCCAGGACGTCCATCCCCACCTGCAGGAATGACTCTTCTCCCACCTCAGGCTCAGCAAAGCCATGTGGGAAGCCTGGACTCCCACTCAGACCGGCAGTAAGAGGGTGCCTCTCCTCCCTGGGCCGGATGGAGCCAAACTTTCACTACCACCCCACGAGGCCTCCACCTCCTACTCATCAACAGACCCCATGAGGAGCAGCTTCAAGGACAGCCTGGAGCCTCTCTGCCCGGGAGAACCCAGGTTCTTCTCTCAAGAGAGTCAGGAGGTCACTCAGGGGCCCTGGGCCTTCACCCCCACCCAACAGAAGCAAGGCTGTGCTCCCCACTCCCCAACGAGCACAGCAGAGCAGGAGAGTCGACTAGAAAACTTCAGTGAGATCCAGTGTGCACACACAGCACACAGAGTGTCAGGGACCCAGCAGAAAACCACGCATCTCACCAAAATCAGGAAAAAGGCCTTCATCAGGTGTGGGTCCCTTGCCCTTGGGCTTCCCAGCATCCAGAACTCTAAGAACTAAACCTTTTGGTCTTTGTAAATAACTAAGTCTCAGGCATTCTGTTATCGTCACTGAAAATGGCCTAAGATAGCGACTATAGTACAAGAATAAGATTCAACTATTTTATAAAGCTAGTTAATTTATCATTAATTTATCCTTTAACCAATTTATTTTCTGAAATAATATTTTGAAATCGAGCTTTGTCACGGAAAATACATTAAAAAGCAGCTGCTGTGGAGAGAACCTATCACTCCTGACCCATTGAAAACACTTCTGAATTCCTACCACTCCCAAGGCAGTCGGCCGGAGCAGTGGAGATGAAACACAGAACGCTCCTTCCTGTTGAGCACTTACCGCCTCAGGAAAGCTGAATACATCCACAAAGCCAGCCGTGCCTACCATAACCAGGGTGGCAGGAGACTCGGCCCTCCTGTCAGCAATCTTCCTAGAACTCGGGCTGCATAAACATTAAGCTACAGAGTGCACTGAAGCTTGGCGTTTTGTCTTCTTGCTCCCGAGACTGTACTGTGACTGGGCCACCACTGTGTGTCCAGCCCCTCACAGGGGAGTCCCTGTTGGATCAGGGGACTTGGGAGTGAGAGAAGGAACAAATGAGTGTGAGAGAAAGGCACAGAAGAAAGGGGAAGAGAATTCACCATGCAGCACACTGGACGCCCAAAGAGGGAGGTGACCTTGGAGAACAGTGGAATTGATGCAGAGTATTTAGGTTCGAGGTTGTCTAATGTTCGGTGCTAAACCGTGTTTATATAAAATGACTCCCCTCCCTTTTCCCCCAAATGAGACAGACCTTGTCCACGGCAACCTATGCCTTATGTGAGTAGTAGTTTGGGGAGAAATTAAGGGGGCTAAATTCTGTAACTGAGATCTGTTTATTCCAAAAATCCATGGATTTTTGAAAAGGATGAGAAGCAAGAAAAGTAAAGTCAAGCGGAGGTAAAAAGAGCCAGAAGTTACTGTGAATGGTGAGGAACATACAGATCTTAAGGAACTCATTCAGCTCCCTACTGTTTTTACAGAATATAAGAAATTTTCTTTGAGTCATTTTTAAATCTCAAAGGACTAAGACTTGCACTGGTGTTTTGGTTCAAATACCCTTACACGTTTCAAAAATAATAATAATGGAGCCAAGAAATAGTAAAGACATGGGGGAAGAGAAGGAAGACAAAGAAATAAATTTTTAGAAAACAAAATTGGGATTTGCATCTAGAAAAAAAAGAAAACTGGAAAAGCAGTTAACAATAAATAAGTTATAGCTGATGGGGACTTTTACCTCATTTTGTCTGGTCTGGCAATCATATAATCCAAAGACCACATTTCCCTTTCCATCCTACAAAACAAATATGCAAATGTCACTGTTTAGGAAGCTAGTTTGAAGCTAGTTGTCAAAACAACCCTGCAGCAGTGATCCAACCAGTACCTCAGAAATCCTAGGACACCCGATTCTGAAAAAACAATCATATTTGCTATATTCTCACCAACAAAAATTTAACACATTAATTAGGTTTAAATATCTTGACATTTCCCCCCTGGAAAGTGAAGTTGTTCATTTTATTCAAAAATTTTGACCTTCAGATAGGCAGTGTCACTTCTTTTTAAAAAGCGTTCAATCTCCAATACTGGGGCACAGAGTGGGGAGAGAGGAGAGAGGGAACATTTCTTTTTTTCTCTCTCTCATTGAGTTTATTGATACTTGTTAGGTATACAGTACAGTTACATTCATCATTGGGATCCTGTACCTTTACATGACAGGTCTTGGCTCTCACTGAGGAAACATTTCTTAAGTCTGAATTTCAGGCACTATTCGACATCATACACACACAACACAATGTCATGATTAAGTACTCAATGTTAAAGATTAAAGGTTTAAAACAGAATTCTGTAAACTGATAGTAGAAGTGATCAGTAAATCTTATGTCCTATATATTTTACCACAATAAGAAGAGAACATACCTTATAGGTATAAACAATGTTTCCGTTTCTTTCAACATTTAGTAGACGTAAGCTCTCATAATTTGTTTCTAAAACATCTGAAATAAGAAAACAGCAAGTTAATGCTTGGAAAAAGTTTTAAAATAAACCTGACACGCGCCTGCCTCACAAGGGCAAGGGCCTAAGTCTGATCTCCGGTACCAAATAAATAAACAGATAAAATACACCTAACAAGTACATTAGGGAACGAAGCCGTGTACGATACATCCTGATGGTTCCGTTTCGCAGTTTAAACGCAGGCAAACCTAACCTAGGGTCCCTGGCAGAGCAGCAGTGACCCTCGCGCCCGGCACCCCAGGGACCCGGTGATCTGGAGAGCTTTTGGAGGCATGAGATCCACTGCTCAGCTCAGTGAGCCTCACTTTCTCACTGTGTGCGTCTCTGTGCAAACGTTACACCACCACAAAGGCCCAGCACGTTTTCGCTTTTCATGTTCAGAGGCTACATTGCTAGAGACCCACAAACCAAGAACTGTCAGAGCTTGCTGGTGGATTCATCCCTGTCAGGCAGGCAGCTGAGAGATCAACGAAGGTACTGAGATAGGAAAAAAAAACCCGCTGGCCCAAAGCAAGAGAGTAACCAGAGAAAGCGCCAGCTTCTGGGTTCCTGCGGCCCCCAGGGAAAGGTGCCCTGAGTGAAGGATCCGGAGGATTTGCACAGATGTGGGGACCCCTCCCTCACCATCCACATCCTCCTCCCACAGGTCCCCACAGTATTGTCATCAGGAGCAGAGGCGCCGGCGGAAGGGCGCAGAGTGGGGTCTGCCTTTGGAGCCTGAGCAGAGGAAAGGTGTGGCGTCTCCTTCCCCTGGCAGTGGTGGCTGCGGCAGGTGTGTGCTACAAGCCCCCTAAGGAAGGCTCTGGGCAGGGAGCGCAGCTCCCTAGGTGGGCACAGGACCGGGCCATGCTGTGCTCTGTCCTGGCGTAGGGAGGGCAGCTTCCCATGGGCCTTCCTGGCAGGCACATACTCAGGTCCAAAAAATCACACAAGTTTGCAACCAGGAGCTAATCAAACCCTTTATTTATTAAAATTGCATTTTTTTTTTTTTTGTACTGGGGATCAAACTCAGGTCCTTGTAATTGTGAAGTAGGCAGCAGCACCACTGAGCTAAATCCCTGGCTACAATTGCACTTTTTATCTAGTCCTTTTTCCTCTAAAGTCTTGTCTGCTATGAAGATATCTCTATCTGCTTTCTTTTGGGTATTGCTTGAATGACTTACCTTTTTCTGTCCTTTTATCATTAGTCTTCCTGTGCTCTTAACTTAAGCTATGCATCTGGCAGTGTCTACTTGTGCTTCTTCCCTAGTCTGATAAGTCTCAGTCTTTTAATTGGCTATGTAGTGCATTTACATTTACTGTAGTTTGTTTTATCACAACAGAAATACACGTGTTCATCAAGACACACGTCTATAGCACTGTGACTCATAGTAGCCCAAACTACCATCAAGTGAAGAATGAATAAAGTGCAGTAAATCCAAACAGTGGAACACAGTGTGACAATAAGAATGAGTTAACCTATAACAACACACACACAAATAACAGCAAAAGAAGCCCCAATCCTACCCCATAACCACAAAAAAAACTGTGGTAGTGATTTGATCTGTATGCAAGCTTCAGTCTTGTAATCCAAGCTGCTAGCTGAGGGGCTGCCAGGAAGGGGCATGAGGCATTTCTGGTGCTGTGAACCTTCCCTTTCCTGCCCAAGTTTCACTCTTTGAAAATTAACTGAACCACACACATGTGACTCATGTACTTCTCGGTGGGAAAGCCCTATTTTGAGGAAGGACGGAAAGATTCTTCACACCAAATATTTAACTTACAAATTAACAATCATCTTTCATCCAAAGTTTTTAGGTTAGTCCTAACTCTGTATTGAAAGAGTCAAACACTGGTGAGAGTACAGGGTCAATGATTATCACTAACCGGGAAGAAAAGTATCTTTTCACAATCTCTTCAAAAGCAATCTAAAATTAAATAACTGCTTAACAAGTCATCTTTTCCATACGTGAATAGTGCTTTCGGATGGTAAATATTATTCTGTTGATTATTACATAAGTCTAATCTTCAGATAAAACTTACACAAAGTACCCTATGACTCAGAGCAAGGTTCAGCTTGGATTCCTAATGAAAAGCAAGTGTATTCGTGATCTGGACCCCTGTCCTAGAGCTGGGGCGGGAATGCTGTGTTGTGAGGGGTGCTCAGGCCTCATCCTGGTACCTCTTCCTGCCCCTCCTATGCAGCAGCTGTGCAGAAGCTCTGGGGGGTGGGCAACGGGCAGGGGCAGTGGGTTACACCCATGAGTATATCAATTTTTCTATATATCCTGAGCTGCAGGACACACTTCACATTGGTTTTAAAATGGTTTGGTCCCTTAGTGGGTTTTCCCTGGGTCAGCATCACACAGGGAGGCAGTGTGCAGGTTCTTACCAACCTGGAGAAGGTAAACAGGACAATAAGCTGAGCGCCCTGTATCAAGCTTACAAGGGGAAACAGAGAGTTACTCCAAAACCTTGCTTTTCAAACATCTAAAGAGCATTTCCATGAGTTGCTTTTCATCCTGCGCTTGACTTAGAACTTCTGGAATGCAACGCATCAATATGGAAAAGTGTTTCCTTCTTTCGAGATTATAAGGAAACTGGAACAGACCTTCACACAAGCACCCTTAAAAGGTTTCAGCTAAGATAAGAAACTCCTTTATGGGAAGTCTTGCTTTAAAAAAAAAAAAACCTTTATTTTGAAATCACTAAAAAAAAATTCTCCAACAAATGTAGGTGACAACTTCATGTTTATATTATATACATATTTAGTCCATTAAACACTAGCTTTCAACTCTGGCTGTGGTAGAAAGATCAAAGGAGCTCTTAAGAAAACACCACCTGCCTCACACTGCAAGTTCCAGAGTTCGATCCCCAGTACCCCCAAAAAAAACACTGATCTCCAAACCCTTCCCAAGACATTCTTACTTGACTGGGCTGGTGGGAGACCCACTCTTTAGTGTTTTAAATTCCTAAGTATTGCTCATGCGCAGTCAGAGTGAGAACCAACAAACTAGATATTTATGTAACATGTTAAGCAACCTTCAGAGGCTAGCATGACTAGGACCGGTGTATGATGTAAACTCGGTAGGCAGAGTTTAAAGAAATAACAATAATGCTTTCACAGGCACATTAACCCTGCAGTTAAGTACATGGTTCACTTTTCAAGGACATTTAAAACAGACAAATGTGGCAATGTTAGAAATCCAGAGGCTAATATCTCACCACACCCACATGTCAACGCTTCCTCCTGGGGTAGCTACTGGTGGTAACACACCCATGTCAAAGGAGCACTCGGCAGCCTCTGTGCTTATTCATTCTGACTCTTCTCGCTACAGTCATCTCTGGAAAGTCCAGAGGAGGAAGTTTAGCAACTTCAAATAAGGAAATGTGATTTAATTCTAGTTTGTGTGCTCAGTGCTCACGAAGAAAACAATGTAGCATTTAGATGGGCAAGATATTTTCATAAGTAAACCTACTAAAGAAAGGAAGGTCTGTAGGTGTGCAACGTACCAGGAAGCCATGGCTTGTGCACAACAGCAGCTAGTTTACTAGGTAAACTTGACTATATCAATCTATTCCTTTGCAAGCAAAAGTGATTTCACTTTACAGGAAGATGTTGAACAAATGTATAAATTTATTCCAACTGCTTTGGGACGCAAAGCAAATAAAACATGTAATTCTCCAGTGACAGTATTTGGGGGGGGGGAGAATCAGCCTTATATGAAAACGTGAATTGGTTCCCAATACACAGATCAAGAAGGTGATGAGATACAACGATACTGATGATATTCCAAGAGAATGTCCCCCGGCCATCGGGGGCTATGCACAAGGCTTGCTCTCTAATCAGTCACCTGGCAGTGTATCAAGTCCCTGGCAAGGATGACTAATGATGAGATTTGAAAGATGAGTCCGTCCGGTGTATCACAAGTCCAAGAGGAATCAAAGCAGGCAAAAGATACCCAGGAGAAATCCACATTCTTTCCAGAATTGGTTATAGAGGGTCCCAATTTACAATGTTTCCATTTACAAATTTTTGCTTTACAATACAAACTCAGTAGCAAGCATGCTTTAGGTTTTGATCTTTTCCTGGGCCAGCAATAGGCAGTGGGGTCATCGTCTGATGCTGGGAATCAGCAGCAAGCCGCAGCTACATGATCACGGCAGTGAACAGCCCATTCCTCCAGTGCTCAGTGTTGCTAAGCGATGGTGTTTTATAGGTTAGGCATAGTAAATGCATTTTCTATCTTATGGTACTGGGGATTGCACCAGATTCTTCATCCTGAGCTACATCCACAGCCCATTTTTAAAAGTTTGGAGACAAGGTCTCACTATAAGCCTCCTGCCTCAGCCTCCCAGAGTGCTGGGATTACTTAAATGCATTTTCAAATTATACAAAAATGGGTTTATTGGGCATCAAGCGACAGGAAGCTAGGAAAAGCACCAACTGAATCTCCCAAAATTACCTATGAGAAAAGGATGAGTCACATTTCCATGGCTGACAGAACTCACTAGCTATTTCGCCAGGAATCTGTCATATTTCATGAGAACAACTAAGCATAACTAAGAAAGCTTCTACTGTATTTGTTGGTGTAAAAGCTACTAAAGCTTGCAGACCTAGACAGCAAGTGTGCAGAGAGACAAGGCCATTGTACATCCATAATTTGTACATGAAAAGCTGGGACTAGGTAAGGACAATACTTGGCACAAATGTACTTAGCAATGGTTGGGCTGGAAATGTGATGGAATGGCAGATTGCCCCCAGTGCAGTAAATTTTAGTAGAAGAAGGGTTGACCTGTGGTTTTTGTCTATACTTGGCACAAATGTACTTAGCAATGGTTGGGCTGGAAATGTGATGGAATGGCAGATTGCCCCCCAGTGCAGTAAATTTTAGTAGAAGAAGGGTTGACCTGTGGTTTTTGTCTGTTTTGCTCTACCACTTGTGTGTGATTTTCGGGGAAGCAATGCTCTTAGTGTGTCTGGGCTAAAAGTCTAGCCAAGGTCCTCTGAGACAACAAAATACTGCCAGTATCAGAAAAGTAGTACTCCTATTAAATTTAACATTCCGAGGACCCATGATAAGTTTTTTCTAACAAAATCTCAATATATAAGTTTATAATACTTCACAGATGAAAGCTATAAGGAGGCCAAAATACACCTGAGTGACACACAGCTTTTCAATAACAACACACAAGACTGGCATTTCACACCTCATCTAACTTCATTCACCTTTCATATACCTCTCACCACTCAGCAGAAGAAGGACCGAGTTCAAGAACTACTTTGTGGTGGAAATCAGGACTAAGGCTTGCCTGCTGTTTTTCAGAAATCTAAATCTTCAAAAACTTTGTAGATGTAAAGAACTCAAAAATACCAGAGCCCCCCCTCCCAAATATAAAGGCCCTATTCAAAAAGGGGCATCTAAAATGAACAGACATTTCTCAGACAAACAAGTAAAAGCAGCAAATAAATATGTGAAAAAATGTTCAACATCACTGGTCATTTGAGAGATGCAGGTGAAAACAACACTGAGATTCCATCTCACCCCACAAAGAAAGGCTGCTGTTAAGAAATCAACTAATAACAAATGCTGGTGGGGTTGTGGGAAGAAAGGAACCCTTCTCCATTGTTGGTGGGAGTGCAGACTGGTGCAACTACTGTGGAAATCAAACAACTAGGATTAGAAATCCCATTTGACCCAGCTAATGGGTCCCTCTGCTGGGTACCTTTCCAAAAGAATTAAAAGAATCATACCACAGTGATATATGCTCACCCACGTTTATAGCGGCACAGTTTATTAGAGCTAAAACTTGGAAACAGCCCAATTGCCCAACAACTGGAGACTGGATAAAGAAGATGTGGTTCTTCTATAAGATGGAATACTACTCAGCCATAAAGAACAATAAACTAGAGATACTTATAGCTAAGTAGATGTACATTGAGGCCATACTCTCTCCTCTCTCTCCCTCTCCTCTCTCTCTCTCTCTCTCTCTCTCTCTCTCTCTTTCTTTTTGGTACTAGGGATTGAATTCGGGCCCTTACACTTGCAAGGTAGGCAGCAGAACCACTGAGCTGAGATACTTATAGCTAAGTAGATGTACATTGAGGCCATACTCTCTCCTCTCTCTCCCTCTCCTCCCTCTCTCTCTCTCTCTCTCTCTCTCTCTCTCTCTCTCTCTTTCTTTTTGGTACCAGGGATTGAATTCGGGCCCTTACACTTGCAAGGTAGGCAGCAGAACCACTGAGTCAAACCCCCAGCCTAAGGCCATACTCTGAAGTGAAATAAATAGGACACACATGTGTAAATACCTAATAGTTTCTCTGGTGTGAACAAATAAAAGTGTAAACAAGGTTCAAATTGTATAACTGATAATGTGAAATAGAAAAGGGCTAAAGGAGTAGGGAAGTGGGAAGGGTAGGGGAAAGGAAAGGAAAAAGAAAAATATGAGAAAAGGAAAAAATGGAAAAAGTCTTTGTACATAGGGGAGGGTGGAAAGGTGAAGGGAGGGGCAGGAGGGTGGGGAAAAAATAAGAACCAAGATACATCATGTAAAGGTACAAGATCCCAGTGATGAATGTAACTGTACTTTATACCTAAAATGTGCCAATAAACTCAATGAAAAAAACAACTTTGTAGGCAGTGGAAAGCTTTTATACATTCTCTTCCTCTCCCACCCCAAAAGACAAAATCTTCACTAATAATGACACCAAAAGCAAATTCAAACAGGAAGCTCCACAAACACACACGACTTCCATGTTACCTGTCAAGACCAGGTAACATGCAAATAATTCAGCTGCAAAATAAGATGTAAAATCGCAAGGGAAATTTTTCACCAGCCTGTAGGAAAAGGGCAATTTGTTCCTCGCCCCCAAAAGGTACCCCTCCCCGCTCCATTTAAGGAAAACAAACATTAAAAAAAAGAAGCAGCAGCAGCGCTTGCACTGGAGGGGACAGCTCCTGGAGACAAGGTGAGACCAGAGGTACCATTGTTGCTTTATTATTTACAGTAAACGCTTAAAAAGAAAAAACATGAAACCGCAGATCCCTATTTAAAGCACATCGATCGGGCGGGATTCGCTACCTCCAGTACACCAAGGGCTTTTGTGAAAACCTGAGCCGAACCGAACCTCGGAGCCGCGTCCGGGTCTCCGTAACCGGGCGCACACCCAGGCACACCCTCACAGCGCTGCAGCAACGCGTCAGGTGGGCGGGAAAGTGAGAAATCAGCTCCGCTTCGGCAAAGCGGATCGGGTGGGAAGGCCCCCAAATCACAATCGGGGACAAACTATGCGAGGTTCGAGGTGCAGGCGGCGCTATCCCCGGTGGCCGCGAGTCTCCCTTCCCTTCTCCTCACGCAGCCGCCCCTCGGTCCGGAGCCCCACACAC